AAAGTTGCATATCTTGTCCGCTAGACTTTATAAAATGTAAATTGTAACTCTGCATAAAGGCAGCCGATAGAACACGTAACCCAACAAAAGCCAAAGGCCGTGAGAGGGGTTTAGAGCATATCTCATTTACGAATCTCACAGGTATAAGCAATCACACGGAACGAGTCTAAAATCAGAAGCCCGGCATTAATAATGAAAGGCAACCTTAATCTGGTAGCACCGTGGTAATTGCACTACACTGTTGGGATCACTCTCATTCTGGAGGAAAACTTTGCCAATTTACATAATTACATTTTTTCCCCCCACACATGGCTAGTTAAAGCACCATTTTTTTTAAATGTGACTTTACACTCAGAAGGCATGTGTGTGTGTGTGTGTTTTAATAACACAAAAATCTACTTAAGGATGAGCTGGAATAAAAAAAAAATAAAACACAAAAAAACCCATTGCCACGTCAACACAGGACGGGAAAAAATTAACCCGTAAAACAAAGTTTTTCACGATAAATCCTTTATATGCGTGGCGGCTAGAGTCCTCTCGTCCTCTGGCTTGAGATGGCTGCCACCTATGGGTCAGATGATTGCCTGCCACCATTAAGCAATTGGTAATTAAATATTTTTAAAAAATCCTAAAATGTTGGAAATTTTGGAGAAAAAAATTTCAGAAAAATAAATTGTCACACACAACGAGTCTGTGCGCAAAATGTCAGCTCGATTGGATCACGGGAAGTGGGTTAAAAAACGACCGAAAGATTTGCACGGTCGTAAGCGCGCAAGCAAGCAAGCAAGTGAACTTAATATAAAGTATTTAATCAATAAAACCCAAATAAAACCCATTGCTACGTCAACACAAGACGGGAAACAAACTCAGCAGTGACTTCTCCTCCCGAGGACGTCTGTGCGATAATTACGCACGTAAACATGTATATATATATATATATAACCCGGAACGGGTGACGCAATTCGATGTTATGTTGAGAACTCTGATGAAAACAGAGGCGGGGAATGAATCTACGGCATAATCCAGACTTACAGCGGGAATAATCAGCTTACCGAAGCTGCCGTCATGTTCTGGACGGGAAACCTTCCAGTAATTATATCCACAGGACAAACCAATAAGAACCCCCATGCCAGCACCACCAAAAGCAATAATTATAACGAAAATCAACAGTAAATGTACCTGAGTAAACAAAATACGGCACTCACCATCACTCCTTAACTCTCATTAGCAGAGAATGCCCCCCCCCGCCGCCGCTCCCCCCCAAAGGGCTCAGTGGTTCTTCAACCGTGTCTGTTAATAATTGAATTACTACTGGGAAAATAGTGCAGCCCTGGCAGAGCGTTGCACTGACACACACATACACACACGCGTGTGTGTGTGTGTCAGTGCAACGTGTGTGTGTGTGTCAGTGCAACGTGTGCGTGTGTGGGAGACGTGTGCACGTACACCACCAACAACCACATTAGGGCAGAACACTGGCCCCCACGGGTGCAAAGTGAATGGTGCACGACTACAAAGCGTACAGCGCTCGCCCCCCCGTTCCCCGTTTAGCCTCACGGGGTCTGTCAGAGCAAAGTGCTGTTCGTGAGCAAATATTAACGAGCTGCTTCGTCACGACCAGTGCTACCCAACAAGAACAAAGTCTGCCCATCTTCGTCTCCACGCACAGCTGACGTGACATTCACAGTGGCACGCGACACAAATTCACAGTAAAAGTTACGTTGGGTTCGATCGCGTCGTTATAAGTGTGTCGTTCAACCTGCCACCACCCGACACAGCCAATGGGTAAGGTTTGTCACGTAAACGGAACGTGCCGACTAGTTACCAGTACAGCACATCGCGGTGTTGGAGAGTAAACCCACGACAACATTTACAATTTGAGCGCCGTGATGTTTCGCTGGTAATTACAATTGTGTCGGTGTTCCGGCACAGTAACTAACTGGCACGTTCTGTTTACGCGACAAACCTTACTAAATTGATATTCTTAGTTTTTTCGGTAAAGTCACGTAGGTAAAAAATTAAAATTAATAAAAGTAAAATAAAAATCACGACGTTTCGGAGGCAACACAAGCTTCCGTTTTCAGGTGGAACAGTCACAATACGATAGCTGTATCAAGTACGTTTGTGTCAGGTGGTGGTGGTGGGTTAGCGACACATTTATATTAATGCGACCTAACCCAAAATTACTTTCATTATGAATAATATTGGTGGCGAAAGCCGACGTGTTAAAATGCTACGCAAAATAATCTTCTGTTGTTGTTGTTTTTTGGCCGACTTAAGCTATGGGGCTGGGCAGGAGGGGGTGGTGGAAAGGATAACTTCAGGTAACAATTTCCCTCACTGTCGGCAAGATCCACTATGGACTACTCACATCGCGCCTCGCCCCTGCCGCCTCCACGTCTGTTTTAATCTTGCCCGAGCTCCCACTCACATGCTCCCTACTCTGGCATCTAAGGCCTTCTGTCAAAATCTTCAAGACAACCCCCCCTCACTCGCTTGAAAAGTTGCTCCTCTGCACCATCACCCACTTGTTTACTTTGCCCGGCCCCACCTCTCAATCTGCTCAAGGACAGACTCAAGACTGTCCTCTTCTCCTCTGCCACATGTCCGGCAGTCTGTCCACTTTGAAGGGTCTCAAACAGCAGCACCTTTACCACACCATCATCTCTCTACGTGCCTCCATCACCCTCCCCTCCCCGCCCACAGTGCGCGTTCAGTCTTGACATGCAGATTTATTTAGACACAACATCATGTCCAAATTGTATTGTACAGATGTCTTGTGATCCCCCCCCCCAACATTTAATTATGCCTATTTAAAACAGAAGTGAATATTTCTAGATTTGAAGCTTTCGTGACTGCAAGGATTCATATTCTTAGGTTTTTGTCAAAAAAAATCACGTAGGTAAAAAATTATAATTAAAATTAATAAAAGTAAAATATAATATTATTTTTTATTTCATTTAACTTTTATTAATTTTTATTTTTTACCTACGTGACTTTACCGAAAAAAACTAAGCATAGAAGTGAATATGAGTAGAAGTGAATATGCACAGGAAAACAATGGGGGTAAATTAATTGGGGGTTACCAGATATCTGAACCACCCTGTATGGTGTACAACGTCGCATGTTTGACCATCACCATGACCAATGAACCACCCACACCCAGTGTAATATTTCTGCACAGTGTAATTGTCATCTTCTGTAGATATCCACCAATCTGACGTTTTCCCATGCAGTGATGTATTATTCATATTTACTTACTTCTAAAGCACAGTGGAGCGTTTCCCCACTTTTAAGAGTTTGTGCTTTATTTTTGTCCAGTGACCTATTTGTGCATTTAGTATCCGTCATATTCTGTTGATGTTCACATATCTGACCTTTTCATCTATATTCGCCTATACCTCAGTCCCCAAGTAAGTTGTACTGCGTCACTGGTGCTGTAATTGTACAGGCATCAACGCCACATCATCAGCATGGTAGCACAAGTGTGCATACACTCACACGCACCAATGATCATCAAACGAAGCATTATTGCATTGTTGACTTTGTTAAATATCTAGGGGGAAGTGCTGTTCGTGAGAAACTATTATTGTGGTGAGCGAGGAACACAGGAACGCGAGGCGAACATCATGGTACTCAAGCTACACTGTGTTCCCAGAAGACACTGAGGACTTTACTCAATGTATGCTGATTAAGCCTCGGGAGGTCCAGGGCAAGTTTCAGATACCAATTGTTAATGCTGTGACAAACAACCAGGAATACAATCCATATTGCCAGGATCATATGATATATTTACTCGTGCTCACAAACACTATATTAAAAAATAAACAATACTAATTCCCTTGTTGGCATTGCTAAATGGCTGGGGATAGCGCTATTAGCAAATGTTTATTACAGTTGGCAAGGCTCACGGGAATGTGGGTGGAGACAGGGGTAGCATAAGGCAAAAGCAAATTAACCAAATGCTTTGAGCAGCTCAGGGAAAACAAGACTCGTGGAAAAAAATTCGGATGAACCAAATATCAGTTCGAATTCAAATCCCAGTAAACACAACATGCTCAAAAACATATAAAAGCAAAGTAATATCTCTCTCATCCCCATTCTGTGTGTCTCTCTTCTCTCAACCAACTCAATCTTTGTCTCAAGTATACATTACTCAAATTTCACTACATCTCCGTCTCATTTGTATGTCTCCTCTTATCTCGCTCCATATCTATTCTAATGTCCATATCTCTTCTGTAATCTCATTATGAGTGTATACATTGAAAGGGGACTCCCCAAATTAGGCTTTGCCCCCCTTCCCATCCCTCCCAATGGGACAGAACATCAACAATCCCAGCCACCTCTTCCTCCCCATCCCTAGCGTTGCAGCATAACAAAGACAAAGATCCCCCGTATAGCCTTGAACAGACTGCTGAATCAAGTGCTGTTAGCGAGCACCTTTGAAGGCCGGCATGGCACACGAGGGGTGGGTGGCCAACACTACGCCCAGCCGCCTTTGTTTCCCTAGTGGCGATGTTTACACACTCACCAGGGACTCATTTGAGGCTGAGTCGACCTAGGGGATGCCCAGGACTGGTTCAGATAATCGTCACTGGTGTTGACCGTGAGCGGGAATCGAATCTGGGTCGCCAGATTCGTAGCGCAATGTACTAACCGCTACACAACCGCTCCCACACACAAGATAAACAACAACAACCGCCATTCGCCACTAAGTGGCGGTGACGTCACCACGACGCTTGTGCCAGGCCATGTGCACCTTAAGACCAAACACATACACACCCTGATTGTCCTCAATTTTAGACTGCATCAAGGGAGGCCCAACGTTCGGCAGGGATGACAACTGCAAATAATGTGCACGGCCAGGGATCAAACCTGGGTCATGTGGACTGCAGCACAAGATCTGCCGAGGACAGCGCCACCACGCATGGAAATGCAAGCCAGACAAACACAGCGCGGGCTGGAAATCTAATGCGTGAATGGATACACGAGGGACTCACCAGATTGTGATTCGTTTCATTGGAGTCGTCCTCTGGAAAGGGGATGTAGACAGCTAAGGCCACGCAGTTGGCAAATATTGCCACAAGGATAAACAAATCAAATGGCCTGAAGTGTGGGGTTAAGGAAGACAAAAACCGAAAATGCTGTCAACCGCACACCATTGTTACACAGCATAAATGAATGCAGTCGCAAGCCACTGTAAAGAAAGCAAGGCAGTTGTAAATGTGTCTTGTCTGTTACAAATCATTTAATTGTGAACCCATTATTGTGAATTAATGTGCACATTGCCGCGGATGGAACTTAATTGGCTCAACGCTCAATTTTATAGGCCAGGTAAATTGTCGAGAAATGTTCAACCGCCGGGTTTAGTTAAACATTTTGTTAATCAGTCATAATTGTACGACTGGTGTTTAATGGCGTTGTTGCGCTTACAGTTTGTTAAAAGCCTACACCGTAAAAGTAAATGTTTAGCCTAATGACTGTGGTGACCATTAAATGTGAATCGTTGCTTTTTAGAGCAAAAGGTACTGTACGTTGCAAAGACACTACTCTCAGGGGGGGGGGGCATCTTAATGCCATATGAATGCACAAAGCTATGTTGAAAGGATGCATAATGTGTCACAGAGATTCAGAGGGAGAGAGAGGGAGGGGGGAAAAACATCTAGAGGCCATATCCACGTAGAAAAAAAATAGTGATCTGAATGCGTTGAATGCGTTCACGTCAGCAGTGCAGAGGCAGTGTTTAAAGCAAAGTGGCTTTCAGCACCAGGAACAGCTCCACCGTGCAAAGCAACAGCCCCCCCCCTCTCCTTATGTGAAAGCCGCATCGACTCCCAGTGCAGTCTCCCGATTTAGATGAATAGATTTTCAACCAAATTTATGTGACGATGTTTTGTAAAAAAAAAAAATTTACGCAACATAAACGCGCCGTTGCGTGTGCTCCATTGTGTACGGAGAGGGGGCAGCATTTTGTTAAGCGTATTTTTTTCTCTCGCTCTCTCTCTCTCTCTCCAACGGTTGTCATCGATTTGGCAGGTGGCTTGCTAAGAAGACAGCGTTGCATTGATTAGCAATTTAAAACCTCTGAGTCTCGTTAACACAGATGAGAGGTTCGGGTCTATGGGTATTAAGGAGGTCACTGGTGCTGGGATTGCAGAAAGGGCATAATGAGTCCCGACGCTGCTCTGTGGGTCAAAGGCTCATTTGCATACCATACTTGTGCAACACGTGTGATGCAGAGGTGATGGGGGTGGGAGGAATTCCACACCCATCCGCTGGAAGGACTTCCAGAATCATGATAATGTTAGATTTAAATGGAAATTCAAATCACTTGGGAGAGAGGGGAACGACTAAACACCGCATACATATGAATATATTCATTCTTCCAAGATGTAAACAAGATTAAATTCATGATGGCAAAAACGAAGACACCAAATTTGTCCGTTAGGCAGATTGATAAGGGGGTGATTATCAATTGTGCAGTGGATCCATGAGCAGTCGTGTAATTCAGAAAAATTAAAGAGCAAAAGAGCTACAAGGCGTTGTTGTCAAGATCAAAAGTGAAAAGTAAATCAAATTTGGAAGGTTATATTGCCAATTGGAGGAGGTGTACACGACTCAGGCACAGGTCACATTAGCCAATCTATCCGTATTCTATCACCAACGCTAACCCCATCTCCAACGCTTAAAGATGCAAACAAAAAACAAATGTCACTACTCTAGTAGTGGCATACTTGGACTGTGTACCCGTGGCTGTTGGACACAGGTTTGCCGCATTGTTCATGGATTACCTTTCATGTGCTCTGAGGTCGCCTATAAACAAATCAGCCGAATTCACCTAATCTTGTCAAATCTCAGAAGTCAAGCTAGTTTTGATCCTGGATAGCGCTCATTGAACTGAACAATATCGATGCTCTCTTCCTTCACCAAACCACACTGACCAGCACAGTGGCGCACAGTCAAATAACCTCCATAGCCCACATGGTGCGGGGAACCCTCCACCACAAAAGTGGATTAAAAGGCTGCACATGTGCATGTTACCGAAATCAGATTAAATACCATTGTGTTAACAAGGCACAGCAATTGCAGCATAATAATACCACGAAAGCACACCTTTAAGACACTTAAAACTGTTTTTGCTCTTATTAACACAACTGTAACAATTCATCGGACAGGTTCGGACTAACAACTTGGGTGTGCATCTTTCTCCCAAGATAAGATAGAAGCCATTTGACACATTTTTTTGGTCACATGTTCTTTTAACCAAGCCTGCAGCCACGTCTCCCTGACTCCTTATCTCCCCCCTAATCTCCCCTGGGGATTTTCCGTGCCTTCGGTCACAAAGCGGTGGGGGGGGGGCCGGGCGAGCCCCCCCCCACTCCCCGCACGTTTCCGCGCGCTCGGTAGCCAAAGGATACTTCCACTCGACGAGGCTGATGCACGCGCGTCGCAGCGGATTGTTCAGATCGAGGCAGAAGAGGGCCCTCGGGGGTCGGTCGTTGGCGTTGCTGCCCTGCTTCTTGGTCTTGGCGTACTGCTGGCGCTTGCGCTGAGCTGTGTTCGCGGCAGCCCCCGGGGCAGCGGCCGCCCCCGCTTCGCCCTCGGCCGCCCGGCTCATCTCCTCGGCCTCTTTGGCCTCTTTGGCCGCGGCGATGGCCGCTTGCCAGGACAGGAAGCCCTGGTTGGAGTTGGACTCCCCAGCGCGGCCGCCGCCGCCGCTGCCGCCCCCGTTGGATAGGCTGCGCCCGCAACTTTCAGCCGCATGCTTTGTGCCTGGATGTTGGACAAGGCGGGGGGGGGGGGGAAAGATCACCCGGTGATGCCCGTGTGGATACACAATGAGACCTGTCCGTTTGACACGTAAGTTTTCGCGAACAATATTATCCACAACAAAGGGTTTTTTGGTGCGGTGAAGTGGTAACCAATTGGCACGTTTCATATACCTGACAACCCTTACTATTTGGCTGTGTCGTCTGGTGGCGGGTTTATCGACACATTTATAGTTACACATCTGGCTGTCGCCTGATGAAGCTAGTTGTATTTACTGGCGAAACGTCGTACTCAGATTGTAAATGTTGTGGCTTGACTCTCCAACACACCGGTGTGCTGTACTAGTAACGAATTGGCATGTTCTATTTACGTGACAAACCTTACTAATTGGCTGTGTCGGGTGGTGGCGGGTTTAACGACACATTTCTAGTTTTATGCGATCTAACCCAAAAAAAAACGTATTATGGATGATATTGGTCGCGAAAGCATACGTGTTAAAGGCCTCTTTTTTTGTTCAAAGAAACCCTGTCGACAGCAGAGAAAGCACCTTCGCCAGCAGATCACTGCTGTGGTCATTTTGTTACACACAACAACATTTTGATATACACAACAACATTTTGTTACACACAACAAAAAGACCACATCTATTCTGTGCCATGAAGAAGGGTCAGCGCCCAAAACGTCACTCATTATACATCTTTCCTTTTGTTGTTGACGAAAGCGTCGAGTGTTCATAATACACAAGGATCATTAGATTAAGGAAAATCACTGTGAGTCCATCTCTTTATTATAATGTGTAAGTCTACATATGTCGGTGATCCCACCGTAACATAATTGCAATATGTGATGATGAAATTGGCTTATTTTATGTTTCACGCCATGCTGCTATGTATGAACGTTCAGAAACCATAAAAGCCCAAATGGAGCTTGTTAAATTTTTTGATTATCAAGTTCTATGTGTCATGATGTATAGTAATTCCATTAACTGTGGGATTGCACCAATAAAATGTATTCTAATTATTTCAGTTTCATGTCAATCTACTGCTGGATGGGGCATCGCCATTCCATCGCAGTCAAGGAGGGTTGCTGATAATATTATACTAAAATAATAAATTCCATGTAAGAGGCTTTCTACAATATATTTAAAGACCTGTACATCACATGAAGACATTAATTAAACGTTCGCTAAGGGGAGGAAAAACTAATAAGAATCCTAAACTCAAGGATGTTTCAGATATAATTTTGCACTCAGATGCCAGCCATCCCTGGGAATCGAATTCAGGTCCAAGGTTTCATAGAACAGTTCGCTAACCACTGCGATGATCGTCCACCACAGTTGTATTAGGGTACTGTATATTTCCATGCTGAACACAATATGGTAATTTTGAATCCAGACAAGACACATGGTGTTTTATGGGATAATCGTTAGATTTGAAAATGTTTTTACAGATGGTGTACATTTTAATATTTCACACGTTGATCGCAAATCACCAGACTTAAAATATAAAACATTTTCATGCACTTTAAGATTTCATAATATGACAATTGCCAAAAGAATGAAAGCAACATGCTGGCATGATTGTGTGGGGTAGCATGAGCCAATAATGTAGATGACAACGTTGTGTCATTTCATTTTAAAGTCAATTTTGTCGTTGTTTTTAGTTATTCATTATTACAAAAAAGCACAAAACATTAAAATCATAATTTGTCTATGCCAATGAAATGCCTTTGATATTTATATACCACATTTTCCTGCATACCCCTGTTGTCACACCACTGCTGGATGAGGGCCTCTTCATGCCATTTGGATAAGAAAATAGAATATATATATTTTACATTGCTGTTTAAAAAATTCGCAAACGTTACATTTTTCACGTGAAGCAGATGGTAATTTACCTGCGCCCATTTAAAATGGTTTGGGAATGATATACGTGCACGGTAGTCATCGCTTAAAAATGAGATGAAAACGGATCGGTAACATTAAATTCAAAAGAAGTGTAAGGTATACAGCTTGCAAGCCAGTTCCTGACACCTGCACGATGTTTTTTTTTTGCAGCGTCATTAAAACCCACCAGCACTGACGAAGCAAGATCCCCCAACAGCATTGTTACTTCGGAGCGCAAATACACGGCAACCGTAAACGCGATCGCATCTGAATTCAATATTCGAGCGTGGCCCAGGAGTGAGTGGCCCAGGCTAGGTGCGATTCCCCGTCGTGCAATGCCCTCCTCCCCGCGTCCCAAATTCGCTTGATTCATATTTGGAGCAAGGTCACCGTCATGTCGGACGCGGCGGGGGGCGCTTTTATAACAAACAAGTGCCCGGTCCACACGCCACTAAATCACATCTCCCCAGAGCCAAGGCGTTAAGAACGGCCGACCCCAAAAAAGAAAAAAGGTCTTTCGCCGTGGGTAAAAAAATCGAGAACTCGCCACTTTCGCCGATGACATTGAGAGGGGGCAAAAAAAAAAGGCCCACAAAAAAACCGTGTTCAAAAAATTAAAAGCCACCTGCTTGTTGTTGAATTTAACAGGCACGGGGCATTTGTGAATAAATGTTGACTGAAGACTTCCGCTGTCCGCAGTACATCTGTGCGCGTGTTTATGATAAAACTGCCACACTGCCTTGTGTCTGTGGCGGTGTATTAATAGCTGCCATTATTCAAGGACGGGTGGTGGACTTGGTGTCATGATGAAGGCAAGCTCTGCCGTTCCTCATGCCAGACTCCACATGCGCAGCGACTCCTAATTTTGACAAAATAGAATGTCCCCCCACATGACAAAATGTGTGCCAGTGCCCCAGTTGAGCTGTCTGCCTTTCCCACAGTCACAACCGCAATATCATCGGTGCGACTGTGTGCCTTGGACACATTGAGAGGTTGCATGCGGGGGTGCCACTTTAACAGACACGTCCTATACCACAGATCCGAAGGTTCTGCTCTCATACATACATTAATACCTACCAATACTCACACAATTACCGACACATGCTGACAAAAAACGAACACTCACGCAAAAATACACAGACTTGCACAAAAACATGACGCACAGACTCAAAACAAACACACGTACATAAAAAAACACACATTGGTACACGTACCACACAAAGACTCACACGAGGAATATCCAAGAATACATGCAAAAACAAAGGTCCGCCATATAGAATGTGTTTACTTTTGCGGAAAGTGCTGTTAGCGGGCACCTATGACGGCCATAAAATGGTGCGGCCATTCCCACGCCCTGTCACATCTGTCTCCCCAGTGATGATGTTTGACAATAAACCAGTCACTCATTTAGATGTAGTTGACCTAGGGGAGACCAAGGGCTGGTCAGAATATCTCAGTATTGATGATATCCGTGACTCAGGCGGACGAGTTCCTTACGCAATGTGTTAACCACTGCGCCGCCACTCCCCCCAAAATAACAAAGACAATGATCCCTCATGTAGCCTTTAACAGACTGCTGGGACAAGTGCTGTAAGCCAGCACATATGAAGGTCGGCACGGCACACGAGGTGGTATGTGGCCAGCACCACGCCCGGCCGCCTTTATCTCCCGAGTGGCGATGCTTACAGATCGCACCGGGTACTCGTTTGAGATCTAAATAGTCGCCACTGTCATTGGTCGTGAGCGGGAATTAAACCTGGGTCGTCGAGTTCGTAGCGGAGTGAGTTAACCACTCCCCACAAAGACAAAGATCCCCCGTATAGCCTTAACAGACTGTAGGGGCAAGTGCTGTTAGCGAGCACCTATGAAGGCCGGCACGGCACACGAGGGGATGGGTGGCCAACAACACGCCCGACCGCCTTTGCCTCCCTAGTGGCGATGTTTACGCACTGCACCAGGTACTCGTGTGAGGCTGAGTCGACCTAGAGGACGCCCAGGACCGGTTCAGATAATCTGTTGTTGGCTGTGAGCGGGAATCCAACTCGGGCAGGCGGGTTCGTAGCGCAGCGCATTAACCACTCCATCCACACACAGTCTCTCTCACACACACACACACGAGTAGTATCATAGACTCACGCAATTGGGAGGCTCACTGAAAAATATTTCCATGCAATATCTTACACCGAAACACACTGCCAAACGCACACACAAACGCGCACACGTACACGGAGCCTTACACACGAAGATATACACACAACTGCACACACTTAAAAACACGGCATGTCACCGACACACCACCACGAACGTGCGCACAAATTGACACACGCACAAAGACACTGGGAGACACCTTAACACCACACACACACAAGGCAAGAACACACACACACACTGGAACACTCTCATATGTATACACACGTGCTCACAGGACGCAAGCTATCCACACACATACATGTGCAAAAACGGACACGTATACACAGTGACACGCGCAGAAATGCACTCTGTCACACACTCAACACACACACGTCAACAAACATACACACAAAAATCTTTGAGAGGCACCCACAAACATTGATACACAAGAACTGACACACACAATACATTCACACACCCACACATACGCGGACTCACACAGAGAGATACACACACATACGACACACACAAATTGACACAGTGACGAGCAGATAAACTCAAGTACATTAACGCATCGAATAGCCTTCAACAGACTGTGCGGGCGAGTGCGGTTAGCGAGCACCTATGAAGGCCGGCACGGCACACGAGGGGTTGGGTGGCCAACACCACCCCCGACCGCCTTTGTCTCTCTGGTGATGATATTTACACACTGCACCAGGATATTATTTAAGGCTGAGTCGACCTAGGGGAAGCCCAGGACATGTTCAGATAATCGTCACTAGTGATGGCCGTGAGCGGGAATCGAACTCCGGTCGCCGGGTTCGTAGCGCAGCGCGCTAACCACTGCGCCACCGCTCGCCATTTACAAATAAAAACAGACCCACACACTCACCCACCCACGTACAAAGACACAGACGCATACATTTACACGCAGAAACTCACGCTCTCAAGAGACACACACTCGTGTACGCAAAGACAAAGATCCCCCGTATAGCCTTTACAGACTGTTGGGGCAAGTGCTGTTAGCGAGCACCTATGAAGCCCGGCACGGCACACAAAAGGGTGTGTGGCCAGCACCACGCCCGACCGCCTTTGTCTCTCCAGTGGCGATGTATACGACACGCCGCACCAGTCATTTGAGACTGAGTCGACCTAGGGGAGGCCCAGGACCGGTTTAGATAATCGTCACTGGTGTTGGCCATGAGCTGGAATCGAACCCGGGTCGCCAGTTTCATAGCGAATGCGCGCTAACTGGTACACTACCGTTCCCACACTCGTGTACACACACACTCACATACATTTATAGACATAATTGGCACACAAACAACATTCACACGCGTACACACAAACACTCGGTACACTCACTCACACAGAGAGACACTCACATATGCTCGCACACAACACACGACACTCACCCACATACACACACACACTGACATTTACACACATACACTGACACACACACACACACGGGTAAACTCACGCACACACGCTCGTGCAGAAAACGCACACTCACACACGATAGTCAAGGTGCGCACGCACACACACACACACGGGATGTGAAGCGGTACTCAACGCGTTCATGAATCATCATCACCATTATCAGCATCACTCGCCTGCTTCATTGGTGTCTCCCGACTGGTGCATCCTTTCATTAAATCCACAGGACGCGCAGAGCAGCAGCAGCAGCTAGGAGCGTGGAATCGGCTATGTGGCACTGAGAAACGTGCGGCGCACATCAGCGCACTCCCATTGTTCCACCGAGTGACGAAGCCGACAGGAGCACTGCTGCTGATGATGTTGCTGCTGCTGTTGCTGCTGCTGCTGATGATGATGATTCCGCTGCTGCTGATGGTGGTGGTGATGATGACGGTCGCAGCGCGCAGCCCTCATCAGGAGCGCTGCTACCGCAGCCGAAGAGCGCACAACGTGCAAGCCGGCTACCCCCAGCCTCACTCAGCGCATGTCGCTGAATGTCCCCCGCCTCTCTGTTCCATCATAACCCCCCACCAGCCAACCCTCGCATCCCCCACCACCACCGCTCTACCCCCCCCCCCCCCCCCCCTTAGCCTGCCCGCTTCCCCCTTACCGACCCGGCAGATTATATTTCTATTTACTTGCTTCGTTAAAATTTAAAATCGCTGTCCACCGAATGACACTCTCTCTCTCTCTCTTCCCATCCGCATATGCGCGTGTTATGTATGAGACAGGAATTAATTTCAGCCGGAGCTGTCCGGGGCTAAGCTCCGGAAAATGGGGAAAAAAATCCCCCCCCCCCCCCCATCTCCTGCTTTCGGGAGGGAGGGGGGGGCGGTCCGCGTGATTGGGGGGATGGAGGCGAAACATATTCCACTAGGAATGACTCCCTGTGGTCAGTGTTTACGAATGTGTCTTTATATGTGGACTGCTCTGCGCATCTCCTATTTTTGTGTGTATCTCTCCAGTGTTATATTTTGTTTATCGCGAGTGTGCTGCCGACGTCAAGTCGTCATTTGGGAGTGTTCGTTAGGAGCTCTCGCGAAGCGCTTTACCCAACGAGAGAACGGCCCGCGGAAACAGATGTCACAGAATTTCTTCCGAGGTCCCTTTTGAGTGCGATTGTGTTTATTTCGCTAGGAGGCGAGCGCTCGCGCACGCCCTGATAACGTGGGAATGTTTGTCCGCACGTCAATCTGAATGTGTTTTATATTATAAAAAAAAAACTCCGATCCAGGGGCCTACCCTGGCTCCTCCCCCCTCAACCAGTATATACACAAGGTCGGGTCTCTTGGAATTTCTTTTTACTTGATACAGCAATCGTGCTGTGACGGTTACACCTGAAGACGGAAGCTTGTGTTGCCTCCGAAACGTCGGGATTTTTTTATTTTACTTTTATTAATTTCAAATTATTTTTTTTACCTAAGTGACTTTACCGAAAAAACCTAAGAGTATGAATCATTGCAGTCACGAAAGCTTCAAATCTAGAAGTGTTTTATATTGTGCTAAGAATGAGGGGCCATTGCCCGAAACGTCGCCGCTTACATATATTTTCATTTGAGGCAGTGTGATTGACGAATGTTGAGTTTTTTTGCCAATATATTTTTTGTAACTCCTACGACTTAAGCAAGAATTTAGTCAAATTAAACTGACACCATCAGCTTTATTACGGGTACGCGTATCAGAAACTCGGATTCAAACCCAGTTCCTCTGCACTTGCCTTGCACACGTTGCCGTCACCTCGTGTCCTCGATTCGCAGAACAAATTAAGCCGCCGTCTGTTTAAAAAAAATATATTTTTTCAGAAACTATTACCATTCTCAATTAAATTGCTCTAATTGAATATCAACGACGAATGTTACGCATAATTGTTTATCCGCACGCGTGCGGGAGTACATACCCAATGTGAATTACGTTCCACTACTGAAACGTTTCTAGACAATGGGCCTCTTGATAATGAATGTTAATAGGCCCTCACCTGGTTAAACAAAGGACAGCAGCCGATCCTCGGCACCACGTACAACCGTGCAAGTAATTCACTGTAATGGAAACCAATGGAGGTTCATTATCGCTTTTGCAATGTAGATCACCAAGGGAATTCAGTGATCAAACGGGAACGCATTATCGGCAGATACTGCATTACACAAGTATGCCACTGAGTACTGTAATGACTTGCAGGCCCCTGTGCCAATCCACTGCTGGATGAAGGCCGGCTTCCGTGGGGCGGAGGGGGGGTTGTTTGGCCATAGTTCACCGCCCTGGTCTGCAGTGCGTGATGGTGATGAGTGGTGTAAAATTCAAAGTTCACTTATTAGGTATAGCCCTGTGAGCCATTCGGCTCTTGAATCGGGTGCAACCGCAACAAACAAAAAAACAAAAACATGAACATGAAAACATCTTAAAGTGACTACGTGCAAACAGAAAGTCCAAGAAAAGACGTCAAAATATTGCAGAAAAATCACCGTAAACCAACCCATCTATTCGGATATGTCTCCACCGATGGAAGAAGCCGCGGCAGGAAATAAAACTCAGGTGCCACTGAGCCACCGCACATTGTGTTTGTGGAACTACAGGCTACAACACTTTACAATAGGACGAGCGCATAGTGTTGTTAAGTTCATTAGCAGCAATGATTAAGCTCGCCGTGAACGCGTCAAATGGCACGTCAGTGAATTTAAAGTCCGTAGAAGATGCTGCACGCAATGGGTTCACGTGGCGCATCCAGCCGCTAGAAGCCGCTATAATCACATTTCTAGCTTTTAAAAATAAATAACCGCATGTATTTTTTTTTATATTATGCGTACAGGACAACATTTTAATTAACCTACATAGATTAAATCTCTCTGACGTGCAGGGCGTCAGGAGCGGTGCTGCAGCGGTGAGCTCTTACATAACACCGCGACTTGAGTTCAATTCCCGGCCACGGAACCGGTCCCGGGCATTCCCTAGATCGACTCGGCCTTAAATGGTGCCGTGTTTAAACATCAGCACTGTGGGTACAACAAAGCCTGCTGTGGGACGTGGTTGTGGCCATACCGCAACACGTATGTGTGCCACGTCGGCCTTAATTGATGGTCACTCGCAGCACTTGCCCCAACAGTCCGTTAAAGCTATACGGGGGGGCACCTCTGTCTTTATTATAGAGACACGATGGATTACCTCTGGAGTAAGAGTGACCAGGGAATTTAATTTAAACCCGCTATTTTTAACTATTCAATTAAAGTGTTTTTACAACTATTTTTGAACTACTCCATTTTGCATGTACAAAAATTACAATTACCAATAGGCGCTATTGATTAGTGCACCTGTCATATATTCAATCTTCATTTGTCATATATCGTTCATGTCCCGAATGAAAACACGAATGCATCAAAGGTAAGTTTAAACATTCCCGTTTCACTGTACTGTATATATGGGTTTTGTCATGCTCTCATACGCCACATTCTCCGGATTATAAGACGCACTTGCCACCTCTATATGTTAAAGAAAAAGTTAGAGGTGCGTCTTCTAATCCCGTAGGTGTGTGTGTGTAAGTGGCCAGACTTGTTGACCAACACTGAACAATGCTGGGACGCGTCTGACTTTCCAGAGCGTCTTACAATTGCGGACAATAATGTCCCATGGCAGTGCGTAAAACTGGAAATTGATCTACCTCGCAGTTAACCCTATAGCCCGCTGTGAGCTGTAGCGTCACCCGAGGCACACCTGACTCGCTGGTCCCAAAATAGCAGCTCCGCTACCATCACACAATAGGGCGGCTCCAGGTAACGGGCGGGAGGAGATGGGAGGGGAGTAAGATGACACCTGTACGGACGCCAATGCCAAACGCCGAGGTGGTTATGTGGAGGAGGGATGGGGGGGGGGGTGTTAGGTGAAGCCATACATACGAGACGTCTATGATGCACCGTCGACAGCAGATCTGTCGTGTCTCGTGCATCTCTCGCGAAAGTGAAACAAACGAAACGTTACGGCGAGTAACCCACTTGGACATCGGAGCAACGTTGGTGCCAACGTTGGTCCAACCACTTGCCAGCCTTGGATCAACGTTGTTGCCAACGTTGGTCCAACGGTTCGTTCCAACCACATTCCAGCCTTGGCTCAACGTTGCTTTGCTTATTGGGATACAGCACAAGGTATCGAGGGCGACCTGGACAAAGTAAATAAAATACAACATTAAGGACGGAGAAACCGTGCCGATGCACGGCGTCAATAACGTATGTCGGAAAATCATCCGTTTTTTCCGAGGAAATATTGTGTTCGTTAAATATCATGAACGTGTCTAGCCTGCTATGAGATATGGCTCAGAAGCATGGACGTGAACGAAGATGATGGAAATTGTAGAAGGAATGTAAAGTGTTCAAACAAGCATGGAGAAGTGCGCGAGGAACATACACCGTACATTAGGAGCCACACGCAGATATAAAAAAAACATAATTCTAACTATATTAAGACAAATTATTCGATGATGATGCGTTGGCAGTGGTGCAGATGCAAAATTAACGAAAACAACGTTATACATTCTTCAAAAACACTGCCTTAAAATAAAAAATGCGCAACTTTAAATAAATATAGACAACACGTTCTACTTAATTAAATAGACTTTTTTAATAAATGTTTTCTCCTACAAAATCAGAGTGCAGCGCCACATTAAATACGCACTACAATGACATTAGTTTAAAGCGATTTGAAGCATGTTTTATTTTTTGGGGTGGGGGGGGGGGGGCAGAGCTTTGTGACGTCATATTTGAGGGGGGGTCTGATTTTTTGTGACGCCGTGTGACGAGGGGGGGGGGGGTCAAAAATCGTCCAAAATCGCGTGACGTCATTTATGGACGGCCCCATTGGGGAGACCTTCGTCCAGCAGGCTCGTGATGATGATGATGATGAGATATAAACCGAGAGATATTTTGTCAATTCAATGCTCGATTAGGGCCTCATCCCTCTAGTGTACAGGCCGTGGTGGTTGTTTGACGACACTTTATCACACCGGTCAAGCAGTTGTTGGCAGTGCCGGATTATCCTCGTAGCACAAGTAGCTACATCTGCTACGGGCCCCGCACTTTCAAGGGCACCGCGCTAAATGCTCTCAAGCTATCAATTCCGGTTGAGTGATTCTGCACTTGCTCTATTACTATAGTACTATACCGTCTTCAACTTTTACGAACGACTGGGTGTTTAAGGGTAGCGATTTTTTTTCTGGCTGTATAGCAAATGAAACAATACAATTACTTTACTATGCAAGTTAAAATGTATGTGTTTTCATATTTATGTGTTGGTTTTTATTTAGGGCCCCTTTATAACATATGCAGCAGGCCCCGCACTAACTTCATCCGGCACTGGTTGTTGGAGGTGGGAAGGAAGACCCGGGGGGCACTTAAGATACCACACTCACACCACTGATGTGAGACGTTTAAGTTAGGTTTAAACTCCGGACAGCATAGTGTGCTAAACACTGCACCACCACTCGCGGCATATGTTTTGTTGTTGTTGTTATAAGGCGGTGTTGATGACAAAGGCGGTGACGTTTGTTTTGCTTGCGGGAGTGCACGTCTCACATGAGCTATGCGATGCGAGTCTACGGACCGTGTAACGTGGGGGGTCGCATGCGATACATTTGGTGACGGGAGTGTAAACACTAAAAACGTTAAGTCAAGTAAATAGAAAACACACAATCTAAATAAATAAGTAAATAAACTAAAAATAATACAAAAGTTTAATAATAAAATTTTTTTTATTTTAAATAATAAAATAAAATAATCCACGCCTGATAAAGACCGCTTGTGTTGCGATCAAACCGTCGTGGGTTTTTTGCTTTTATTATTTACAACGTTTTATTTTTATTTCTCTTTTTTATTTTATTTTCATATCTCTTGTTGCTGAACATTATAAGTTCGCTTTGAATTTAATTCACGGCATTTTCGCTAAACTTTCATTTAATATTTTTGTTCTTGTTTTGATGTTATGTTTGATGTACCTTTTTTTATCTTTAACGTTGTTTATTTTTATATTATTCAAATGTGTGTGATTTCTCCCGTTGCTTGCTTTTGTCTCCCCAATATCATTGTAGCTGTAATGCCAGCATAATGTCATAAGGAGACATGTAGAATCGGAAGCAATCAAAGAGCACTGCATCACCTTGTGTTATGGAATGGTTCCGCGGAAGGTGATGTCAGAGAACTACTTCCGAGATTTTTCGATTTCAAGCTTTCGTGACTGCAGGGATTCATCTTCTTGGTTCTTTCAGTAAAGTCACGTAGAAGGGAAATAATAAAATATTAAAAATAAAACATAATAAAACAATTCTCACGACGTTTCGGCCACACCTCCTACGCATTCCACAAGTAGTGACTAATCCCATATCTGCATTTCCCATAAATATGCTAAATTCCTCTTGATATGCAAATTACTTTGTCAAGGCGCCCCTTCCCCCCTCCAACCCAGCTTAAATATACGCTGCCAAGCCTGGTGGTGCCCATTCAGACGCTGTCTTCACGACAGACCTGCTCTTCACCTGAGGACGGCTGCTTGCGTTGTGGCCGAAACGTCGTGAGAATTATTTTATTGTTTTATTTTTATTATTTTATTACTTCCGAGATCTCTTCGAGTGACGTCTTATCCGCACCTTTGGTGCAGTGCCTTCCCATGTGCCTTGTAGTAGATATCTATATATATATATCACAGTTAATCCAACATTTTATTTTTAAGTCTCAGATTTTAACCCTTTCTTCCCTTTTCCTTTCTCTAGTTTTCTATTGTTTCTTCATTCATAACAAGGGCCCCCATTGTTTGTTGCACAGTTTTATGGCGGTCATCTGAACGTCGTACACCCTGCTTCTGTGCTTTGCTGTATTTGTTGTTGAAAATACGAATGCAATGTAAATGCATGTCTTAGATATAGAGTTTTACCAACTAACCAATTAGCAACTTGTATTAGCCCTATCCCTAACCAAAACCAACTGGTTAACCAGCTATGGCAGTGTGTAAGATTTGAATACTGTTCCTGCATTGCACTGAATGAGGCCCCCAGGGTACATGGAAGGCTCTTGCTAATTACATAGGGCAACCCAGCAGCATTTATTTCATAATCCACTCCCTGCCGATGAGACTCAAAAACGTCCAAGCAGGCCAAGAATTTACCCGCTTCAATAAAAAAAAACTGACACACAAAGCCCAAAGGCTGATTGATCTAAACATAGTTTGATTTTATTATTCACTGCTGAAACAGCTGCTTGTCTTTACGTTATGTTAGTATCCGCAATGCGCCAAAGCAACACATTTTGGAGTGCCATCTCACTTACCAGAATGACCATTTCCCTTAATTATTATCCCGCCTCTGATGCTTTGCCCTGGACCCACCACTGCCGTTTTCTTCTCTTTTGGTCTTTCCAGCAGCTTCAATGGCCACTGTTCTAATGGTTAGTGTCCATTCATTACATATACATCCGGGTAACTAGATAATTGCTTAATTCTTCTTGGTTCTTTCGGTAAAGTCACGTAGAATGGAAATAATAAAATAATAAAATAAAACATAATAAAATAATTCTCACGACGTTTCCCATAAATATGCTAAATTCCTCTTGATATGCAAATTATTTTGTCAAGGCGCCCTTCCCCCCTCTTCCAACCCAGCTTAAATATACGCTCCAAGCATGGTGCTGTTTCATTCAGACGCTGTCTCCCCGACAGACCTGGTCTTCACCTGAGGACGGCTGCTTGCGTTGTGGCCGAAACGTCGTGAGAATTATTTTATAATGTTTTATTTTATCATTTTATTATTTCCATTCCACGTGACTTTACCGAAAGAACCAAGAAGATGAATCCCTGCGGTCACGAAAGCTTTAAATCTAAATTGCTTAATTCTTGAATGTTGTATCAATTTTTAAGAGAATAATGTGCAATGTAAGAGATGATGATGGCTTGGTCAGGCCTTCATCGGGCAGTAGATTGACCCATGGCTGCTGCTGATGATGATGGTCGTGATTTTGACAGCTAAGACAATGCTAGAGAAGATAATATGCACCTGTAAGCCAGAACCTTGGGATGAAAGCATTGGTGATTTATTAAAATTGCTTTTTTAAAATCCCAAACTTACTGGGTTTGCTCGCTGCGCAACATTTTCTCAGACCGTAAGTAAATAGAAACACTGCAGGGTTGCCATGTCCCCTGCAGGTCATCCCGTGCATTCAACAGCATCCCATTTCACTCCCACGGGGACACTTCAACTTGACACATGCTCTAAAATGTAAATCCCAAACAGTTAACCGGCCAGGATAATGGGGGAGCGTTGAGCAATGTCCCCGTGGAATCTCCCGTGCTCTTTAATGCACGTCTCCAGTGCGATGCAATTACATTTAAGGGTGTTATCACTGAGAGATGGATCATGCGTCGTTGCATTCATTTCACATGGGGTAAATGCACTGCATTGCAATTCCGCAGGTGCGCTCACATACACCCATTGTGCGCCGTAATGTGATTGCTAATGATGATAAGTTTTCGCGGGGATTGCATTGTTGAAAATGAATGTGCCATTCTAAGTGTTGATTTGAAAATATAGATGTTCGTCATTTTTTTTGCGTGAGAAATGTTATACGAAATGGATGGGATCGTTGGGGATTTGATAAATGTTTCGCGTATTTTCGGAAGCTAAGCAATACAACGCTTCAACAGATGCTCTGTTGTAGGTTTTATAATAAGGCCATACTTAGTAGTCTATTGTTGAAAAGCCTTAACTTGCCTTGCATACACAGATACACACAAACTGAAATGCTTATATATACGGATGCACAAACACTCAATGACAAACATACCCCATGTTGCCCTACAAACTCTTTGGGCAATTGCTATTTGCGAGCACCTATTAAATCCAGAATGCCACTTGAGTGGATAATGTAGCCTTTGTTTTCCATAGTGCTGAGTTGTACGTACCACACTAAGTATGCATTTAAGGCTGAGCTGACCTAAGGGAGGCCTCAGACACATTCATATATCCCTTGGCACTTATTTTAGCCACGGCCAAGACTTGTACCACCATTCTGACACGAACACACATACATGCGGAAATACACAGAAATCAATGAGTTTGTAAGTCATAACACGTAATATATACGTTATTTAACCGTATCATGCTATTTTTTCTGTATTGTTTTGAACGGTCACCTAACCCAAATGACCAGCCGAGAGAGGCCAATGAAGCAAAGAGTTTGACCACCTGCTCGGGAACTCGATATAATTAACTGCATTTACGTTTCATGTACATTTTTAAATAATGTGAGTAAAGCTTGTATAATAGCCGATACATATCCATGGAGTTGCCATGGTCTGCCATTGTCTATAACAATAGGACAGCTGCATGAATGTGTGTTATGCGGAACTGCAATTGGCCGACAGTCCTGCCGAATGCGTGGCCAATTGTTTTTTATTCAATATCAGTTGATCACTACTTTGAGTATCGATGGCGTTTAAAATAATGCGTTTTCAATTACCCTTCATCAGCCATTTTCAAACTATATTCTGTTGTGTTTTTTTATAATAGTTTGGATTAATGCCAAATCTCTCTTCTTCATCATCTCTTGTGATTTCAGATAATTATAATCTGTACTCTTTGCTGTTTACCTTACCACAACTTTTAGTGAACTGCCCATTATTATGCTCATTATATATTATTTAAAGTGGCTCCATCCATTTAATGATTGTGCTTCTTTGGAATTTGAATATGTTGCTTAGATGTTGTCTAATTTATCCTGACCGATAGATTACTGATGATAACTGTCTTGTTTGTAATTTTAGAAGTAGGTTTTCGGAGCCAATACAATGACCGATGTTTTAGTTAGGGATAGCCCACGTGGTAGTCACGTGTTTATGTGTTTGCAATTAGCTTTGCTCTCCTTTTGTCTATGCTGTATCTTGCATCGGGCCAGATTATGATAACTGTGTTGAACAGAGACGTCTTGACAATCTGAGGTCTGTCCATTCGAATCAAAACGCCGCCATCGCACACAATGCAGGGTACAAAAAAAATCGAACAAAAGCAATTGTATACGCGCAGCAGCTTTAAAAAAAACAATTGTGTATTAAATTGACCAATCTGGCAGCCCAATCTGGCCGCCCAGATTGGTACATAGAGGACTTGGTGAGCTGAGAAAATAAATAATTGCTTACATTTTAACAGTGGAAAGCTTTTCTATAATAGGGGGAGAGATAATAATGGAGTGAAATTCTGAATCCCTTCAGCCATCAAGCATAGAGATTTATGATTCAATAGTACTTATAATCTACAGGCCCAGCTATATTATTACGTACTCTTTGGTTATTTCGGTAAAATCACATAGGTATAAAATAAAATTAAGTAGATCACGACGTTTCGGGCGCAACACAAGCGTCCGTCATCAGGTGGGAAAGCATGGGTCTGCTGCTGATGCAGACTGTTTTAAAAGGTTTTAAATGGGTGTACCCCAAGGGTCATAAAAAAAGTGTCTGGGTTTGTGATGTTAATGTGAGAAATTAGCATGTAACTGGGTACGTAACTGTAACTGGAAATTAGCATGTACCCAGTTGCATGCTAATTTCTCACATTAACATCACTAGACCCAGCCACTTCTTTATGACCCTTGGGCTACACCCATTTCAAACCTTTTAAAACAGTCTGCCACAGCAGCAGACCATGCGCCCGACACGTCGTGATCTATTTTATTTTATACCGACGTGACTTTACCGAAATAACCAAAGAGTATGAATACCTGCAGTCACGAAAGCTTCAAATCAAGATTATATTATTACGGTTTTTGAGGTTACTACATGTCATGATGATGCAGTATTATACCAAATCTATGAAGCAATTAACGAATTTCCTGATGACGGCAAAGTGCCTTCAATGCAAATGTTGGTAAATAGATAACACATTCCTGCGGAGGGAGCTGGTAGGAACGTTGGGTTGCTCGGTCAATGGCCAGGGTCAACGGCGGCGTGGTGTATTCCGCAAATATGGCCGACTGTGAGGACGGGCACAAGCCGGCGTGAGTAGGTTAAACGTTGAGTTTTATAAGGGCACCACGGGGTGACCAGCCCCTCCCCCACCCAGCCCCACCCTCCCCACCCAGCCCCCCCCTACCCAGCCCCACCCCTCCCACCCCCACCCAGCCCTATCCTCCCCACCCAGCCCCTCCCCACCCTCCCCACCCAGCCCCTCCCCACCCTCCCCACCCAGCCCCTCCCCATCCTCCCCTCCCCACCTAGCTCCTCCCTCCCCAACCAGCCAGCCCCTCCATGCACGGCGGACGGACGGACGGACACAATATTCCCCTGTGGGCTGGTGTGACCAGGAGGTTCCTACCAGTATTATATTCTATTCTTACATGTGGAAATATGTTCAGGAGCTAAAAGAGGCGCCACGATTGCTAAATGTTAACGACCTCGCCTGGTAAACTGGAGGTCGTGGGTTCGATCCCGACCCTGACGCTTGCATATTTGGAGTTTGCGTGTCTCTCTCTCCCTGTGGTCACGTCGATTTTTCTTCGGGTCCTCCGGTTTTACCCTAAACATTTAGAATCAACATCACGCGTTTAGAGTATTTGACTGCTATAAATTTCCACACGATAAGCCCATTTGTTGAGCTATCATTTGTGGCCAGGTCGCTTCTGAAAAATAGCTATTTAGCTTTACCTGGTCAAATAAAAAGTTGAGTTTAATAAATGCTAGTTAAAGGTCTGCTAGCCACAATAGGGCGTCAGGAGAGATGTGTACGCTTGTATGTTGAACGTCTTTTGCACCATACTTTGGCAACCATGCTAATCGGACGTAGCCATCAAGAAATAAAAGGATGGTTGGTAGATGTCATTGAAGTGTTGACCAGGAGATAGGGGTTTATCCTCGTTTGCATCCCACTGGGACTTTTTGCACACAGCATTGCTGTACGGTGTTTTTTCTGCAATATTTTGCTGTCTTTTCTTGGATATTCTGTTTGCACTTAGTCACATATTCACTTTAAGATGTTTTTTGTAAAAAAAAAATTTTTTGTTGCGGTTGCACCCGATTCAAGAGCCGAATGGCTCACAGGGCTACACCTAATACATGAACTTGAACTTGCATACAACAGGGACATGAAGATTTCCGTAATAAGGAAAGTCTGCAAATTAACGTTTTAGGAGCCCCAATGGACAAATTAGAAATGACATTTAATTTATGGTAATGAACAAATACCACATTTCTGGAGGTGTGGTGTGACGTGACCTCGTGGAAGAAACAATACGGGAATTGTACTTTATAATAATAATATTTATACTGGAGGAATCCGATGAGCTATAAAGCATTTTTTTACATTTTTAGGATCAATCGGAAACAAACCGCATCGACATTTAGTATCCAGGCCCGATTTTCGGAAATTTAAGCCAAAGTCCTAAAAAGATCCGAAATAGTTGTGAAAGTTCATCGCATCCGATATCTCAGGGGTCGGGAACCTTTTTGACTGGGAGAGCCATAAAAGCCAAATATTTCTAAATATATTTCATTGAGAGCCATATAGCATTTTTCACGTATAATAAATTAAATGTCTTACTTTTAATGCGACTTCTGGTCACGGGACCCGTGACCCGAGAAATTTGAACTTCAAAACTAATTTCTGTTTACTTTAAAATGACACAGTATTATTAAGCAATATCACAAGTATTTTAAAATCAGTTCCAAACTGATTTTATTTTTATTTTTTTTACTATTATTATTTTCAACTCAAAATTGTCTGGGAGCCATATGCCGTCACCGGAAGAGCCATATATGGCTCGCGAGCCATAGGTTCCCGACCGTTGCGATATCTGATAGATGAGAATCATCCCAAATTACACGCCAGAGCGTGACGATTATGCGCGGTGTGACGTCAGATCGATTATTTGTTTACGCTTTGCGATGACGTCACGCCGGCGACACGCGTTCTTGTTATGACGTCAGGAGAGAGGAAGGGAGGGGGGTCACAATAAATTGACGTCACGCGGATCGGGGCTGTGATGACGTCACAGCGACTCTTAAAAGACAAAGATGGCCACGGACAGGGTGAGGGGCATCAGCCTGGCGGCGCTGCAGCAACGCGACCCGTACGTCTCGGGCATCGTGGACGTGGCCAGCCAGGTCGCGCTCTACAGTTACAACACGGCCTCCAACGAGTGGGTGAGTCCGCCGAGGCGGTGGCGAGCGAGATAGCGGCAGGAGTGGTGCGAGGGCTTGGGGCCAAGTTTCCTCGGGGTTGACGGAGAAGCCTCGGTCTTGCCTAGGCTGCTCGCCCAGGTTGGAGGGAGGCACCCCCGCAGAGGCCCCGCGCGGCACGAGCCACCGTAACTGCGTAACGGCAGTGCGCATCGCTTTGCGTGGGTTGTGGGTTGCTGTTCTCATCGACATTGTCACTGACCAGCGTCCCTCCTCCCACCACCTCTTCTGCCGGTCATGACCAACACTTCTAAACTCTGCTGTCGCATTAGTGATGATAATAAAGTGTAACGTGTACATTGAGGAGCATCGGTGACGTTGACGTTGTACTTCTATGAGCACACCGCTCATTAACAAACCCCGCACAGACCAACGTGGTGAAGTATGGTCAGATACGCGCCACCATCCGCACGGCGTAGGGAGGCCCTTATCCAGCAGTAGATTAACAAAAAAGGATATACTGTAGTAGAGTTAGTGCAGTACAATGTTACTGTATTAAGCGAACCAAATTTGACCACATGTTAGGTCGCGGTCTTCCACGTTTCAGAGGTCGATAAAGTGAGTACTTTTTTGTGGAAAGTCAGCGGTGACTCATGTGGATCGGCTCGCCTCCACCACAGGAATTTGGAATTTCCACCACTGCCTCAGAGCCTTATACTGACATTGAGCAGTGTGGCTGTCTGGCTTCCTTAACGCTTAAGGTCGGTGCGATGCTGTAACATGTTAGTGCTATATTGCCCCATTGCAGTTTGTACAAAAAGTCTTGCAATTACAGATAATGCGGCGCAATGGGGAGGTCTTCGTCCAGCAGAGAATGACCGCGGCTGATGATAATATTGAACATATTACCCGCTACAGACATTGACTGTCGTGACATTAAAACGCATCGTCACAAAAGCAAAAGTAATTGTCAAGTCCGTTATATGTGTGTGACACGCTTGCACGTGAGATTAATGATGGGATATTTGACATGAGCAATACAAACTAAACAAACATCAACTTAGTGCTGATACCGTGCTTGTTATGCCGATCAAAAACAGCTGTGGAACGCAGTTTTTGATTTATGGTTACGTACAACATTTGACTGGAACGTAGTTCGTTAATACGTCGATATGTACATTATTTCACAGACTGCATTGATGCTTTTGTAATGGAGCATATAAAAAGTAGAGTGAATTACACCTGTGTAATTAATGGAAGTTTCTGTTCGGTGAAGCATACCGTGATACTAGAATGTATATAAAATTGGAAACCATAAGGTTTGCAGCTTCATTTAAGCCATACATTCGTATAATTGCTGGCATTTATGAAAGTCACTTTTCTGCCTTAAAGAAGCCCCGATGCTTGTTTAAAGTGTTGTACAGCAAAAGTGTATTGTTTCACCACAAGATGCCATTTTCCTCGCTGTTTAGGAGAAAACTGAAGTTGAAGGTACATTATTTGTGTATGCCAGGTAAGTCGTTACCTTAAAATCCATTATAATGACAACATTTAACCATAGGCCATCGTTTTAACACATATGCAACAAATGTTCATGTTTACACCGTTCTTTTAGGGTAAAGTATATATTTTTTAAGTGGACAGTATAAGACTTGGCTGAAATTGTTACACGGGTAATGTAATCTGTTTTAATGTTGAATGTTCTTACCTTACAATGAAGAGCATGTTGCTTTTAACAGCGCTTTTCCAGTTGCAATGACGCATTTTCCAGTGAACAGTTGTTATGCTGATCGGTTGTATCAACGACTTTCTTTAGTTGCTTGCGAACACATTCGCTGTTTTTTTTCTAATAATTCCTTCGCTTGCTATGACATACGACTCTAGGTTCAAAAGAAAATACTCTTTTACTCAAGTTCTCACGAGAAGATGTCCCTTAATTGAGTCATGAAGATGGGACCTTCACTAGAATTCTCTCGTTTTCAGTTAGATTTTAAATCGCACTAGAGCCAACCCAGTAGTGAAGGTCACGTTACAGCGGGGCAGGCTTAAAATCTTAATAGGCTTCCCAATTAGCATTCAGGACCGTGGAACCGGATCTGATTTCCCAGCCAGCCTGGCGATTGAGCAGAGAATATTTGTTACTCGTTTTGTTGAGCGAGTCTTTGAAATTATTTGTAGAGCTTAAAAGTGGATTAATTTTTTAAATCATGGTTTTTTTTGTTAATATCGAGTGCCCTAATTCCTGTCTAAGTAGCTTAAAAAAATTTAAGTACATATTCGGTCAATAGTTGTCATTTTAGCAATTTCGTGTATGGGTTTAATTACATTATATTGTTTTACATTTGAAGAACATATTTGTAGTTGTATTTATTTAGAAAAGTATGCAGGTTAGATAAATGGCTGTCGCCTGATGATGCTAGTTGTAATTACTGGCGAAATATCGTACTCAAATTGTAAATGCTGTGGATTTACTCTCCAACACACAGGCGTGCTGTACTAGTAACGAATTGGCATATTCTGTTTACATGACACACCTTACTAATTGGCTTTGTCGGGTGGTGGCGGATTTAACGACACGCATTTATATTTATGCACTTTAAGCCAAAATTAACCTCTATTAAGATAAATGCACGTGAAAAAAAATGTAAAAAAAGACATGACAACACATGGGCTGTACATTTGTGGTGATAATTAGTCATGTGTTTGTAAAGCACAATGCTGGTTAGATTATCGTCTTGTACGTTTGTTGGCCGTTGCATTGTTAAATGGATTTGTTATAGTACAGTGTGTTGCAGAATTACTGTATGTAATAAAGTATATAATCCAATTACAATTAAGCTTATTTGCACAAGAAATCTGTTCTCAATTATGGTGGGTTCCTTTAGCTGCTTTATGTATCTATGTAACATGGGGGTAGATGCCAATGGGACCGATCTCCATGAACATACTAATGATAAACAGGAATGCCTTGACATATATTTGTTTATCTTGATTTATTTGGTTATAACAAAGGATGATTATAATTTTGATTACGCACATTGAATCTTCAAGACATTGAAAACCATGAGTTCAATATGCTTGGACTAAATAATATGGACATTTGAAGTTCAATAAAATGATCGTAGTCACTATACATTTTGGGCATATCACAGCAGCTCTATATATATATATACATTTAATCAACTATATTATTTTGGTGGTGTCGTGGCACAGTGGTGCTCTGCTATGAACCCGTTGACTTTAAGTGCCATTCCCAACCATGGCTAGCATAATTCCCGAGCAATATCTGCACTGGTACTGCCCCTTCTTTCACCAACCAACTATTGTGTTGAAGTATGGTCAAATCCCCATGACCAACACGTCGTGGAAATTCCCTCGCTGTATAATATGAACATCCCTCAACACAAATGTATTTGAGTGACAGGTTATAAGAATGAAAGTATATCATATGATTAATAGTGTTTTTGGCCTCGTCAATTTAAAGGATTACCATTGATCATTTGGAAAAGTTCTACACTCAGCCCGCTATGTTTTTTTTTCATTTGTATAATGCATGGGTGTAAATCTGTCACAGGTCTGCATCCCCTCACAATGGCTTTACAATAATGAACAGGCTGAGCATGGACAACCTGATCCAGCCCATCACCAAAGATCTGGACTTCAAGCTGCAGGACCCGTTCCTGCTTTACAGGATTGCAGACTGTAAGCATCTGTCCTGAGTGCATCTTAAATCCCGCGGTGAACAGGGACACATGACGCGTGCGTAATCCTTGGCTGGTTCAGTGGGTCAAATGTTTATATAACGGGCAGGTATTGATTTATTTATACGAGGAAAGCACGAATTGGAACACATGGTACTCTGCTCACTAGTCTCATGCACAGGTGAACTTGATTGTATAGATCTTGTTTGAGTGGACATGAACCACAGATAAATCGAAAGTTGTATCTTAAATGGTGGCTCAGCTGCAGCGTAGACATGTGAAGGTTAATCCATTCATGAGTTCACATCGATCTTTACACTCATGACACATCAAATTGTAATGTAATAATTAATAATTTACGATTTGTGTAACTGTTATGTTTATTTTACGTTCATGTGACAAATGTAATGAAACAACCAAAATGGAACAAGGAAAAATCTTTATAAATGAGACCGGAAAAAAAAATAATAATATTGGAACAAATTTGAGTGAATTTGTCATATTTCGATTTAAAGCTTTCGTGACTGCAGGGATTCATCTTCTTGTTTCTTTCGGTAAAGTCACGTAGAAGGGAAGTAATAAAATAATAAAAATAAAACATAATAATAGTGAGAATTGTTTTATTATGTTTTATTTTTATTATTTTATTACTTCCCTTCTACGTGACTTTACCGAAAGAAACAAGAAGATGAATTTGTCATGTTTCATCGAATTGCATGGGTGTAGGGTTGGGCTATATCATTAAATTAGGCATTTTAAGCATTAAACAAAAAATATATATCGGTGGCTTTCTGTTATTACTTTTTATGCAATCTTCATTGTGCTCTCTGATAAGGATGGTCAATGAACTTACATATAGGACCCTCCCTTTAAGTTTATCGATAATTATCACGGTGCAGTAACGTGTTTTAATTCATACATGCACTGTGATTGTGTGTAGATATGCATTATGCACATCCTATGTAGTAGTATATCGCGTGTAGGAAGTCCTACGTCTTAAAGAGATTTTTTGAAGTTGAGTTGACTTGGCCGCAGCTGTGTGCCTCAGCACGTGTATTTTTAGACACTTTGTGTGGAATTTAACTTCTAAAGACACCCCGTTCTTCTTTCTAATGTGCACCGATGTATTTGCATTGCTTTTAAGTGCAGGTAAAATGAGTTGATTTAGCTACATTCATCACAATTTAACATAGTGTGATATCCATTCATAGTTTTACATTGTGCAACTTATTCAGAATGCAGGTTGCTTTTTTGATCCTTTCGACAAGCATATCGGAGGTATAAATCAAATGAACAGCATGACTCAGGAAAACAAATAACATTTCATGTAATTTCTTATCTAAGCAGAAATGTGAATATGTAATGTAGGCAAGTGTTTACCTCTGTGATGCTCCAAACCAAGAGAATTATCTTCCAGCCGTCTGTGTGTTTTTTCGATGATGTTCGAATGGTAAAAATGTTGATCTTCCAACATTGTGTCGCAGTACAGATTTAAATAACGCACACTAAATCTATGAATACTCATATTTGAAGTTATTGCCATGGTACAGATTACTTTAGTTGTCGGCATATATTGAGATAAATCGTAGCATCCCAGAACAAGCAAAACCTGTTGGCATTAAAAATGGAAAAAATCCACGTTTCACCGCTCTCTTTGGTGTAGAGTCCACTTGTGAAGGTCTTCCATCACCAGTCACATCAGCGGAGTTGAGCAAGAGCAGTATCCTTCACGTTTCATTTGACTGTTGTTCACACTTCACAGAAGTATTGAAACACTTGAAGCATCCACGTTGGAATCTTTGTATCACCCGTTATGGGTGATACCGGTGTTCCAGTCTCATTGAGCTTTAATTACCTTGCACTCCACTTGCATTGGATAACTCCTGTGCCTGACGTCCAGTGTACTCATTGTGTTACATATTACTTGAGCTGCGGTCAGTCCCCCCTTTTTAACGTCGGAAGGCTTGAGTAGATGTTCAGCTATAGTTGATGACTGACGGTGATTTGTGGTGCCAGGGTTTGGGTGATGGTTGTGTTGTAATGCAACGTGATCCCAAACAGCCCAACTCCAAAAAAGGCAAAGCCATTTGGACCAATTGGTCACAGTCAATAGAACGGAAACTCCAAAATTATTTGTCTCACTCGCACAATTAATATGTATTTGCTCGTGTGTTCATAAGCACTGGGAAATATTGGTTTTAATGTCTTGTTAAAGTTTTGATGTTTGAAAAGAACAACCTTTGTAACAGAATGTACATTTACTGAAATTTTTTATTTCAAATCGAATGGTGCTTTCTACAAATGTATTTTAAAGCCTCTTACATGTATGTTTACAGCTGTTAAATGTATGTCATCACAAGACGGGTCATACCATTGCAAACGTTACTGGTCATTTTAGAAATCAAAGCTCGTACATTAAGTAAAAGTAAAGCCCTCAATTGTATAAAAACAAATGCCCAGCAAATCCTCGGTCTTTGTTTTGTTAAGTGAGCACTTGTTCAAATATGGCTTCGACAAAAGCAACAATAACAATGGGGATGTATACAGTGTGCTGCCTGCAACTAAAAATACATTTGCAGGCACGTTGGCTGGCACATAGTTGCTGTGGCTGGGTGGTATTATTAAAAGATATATTAAGCTCAAGGACCGATGTATCTTCTGAGAAAAAAATATTTGGTGATTGGAGTTTGAATTTTTTATGTATGACATCTTTCACACATCTGTGTGTGACTGGCAAAGGTCACCCGAAGCCAACACATTTGTAATAAATGGGTGCAATGTGTTATTGGGTTTTGATGTAGAGATTTTTTTTTTTAGGAAAATCCACACTGAATTTGTTTGTTCTAACTTTGTGATACAGTATCCATACATGGCATCTGGTTCTATGACAAGAATGACTGCCTTCGGATTGCAAATTTGATGACCGAGTAAGTGAACGTTTCATTCCGGCTGCGACTTATTTATTTTCCTACTCTGTCCATTACCCTTTGTGATGGATAATGCATGAAATGCCTGTTAATAGTGAAGTATGCTCATGCAAATAAATCCGAGTCCTAATTCTAAAATTCTAAAAAGCAAATGACGAATGACACGTGTACTGTGTGTTTTGTATTTTTAGCTGTGTATTTTTTTTCGGTAATTTATCAAGTATTTTGTTAATGTTGTACTTTACAAAGCGTCACATTAATTATCCAAAATGGTTCGATGTATTTGTTTATGAATTTATACCTTGAATGTCTAATGTGAGAAATTATATTTTACCGAAGCACACATTTCAACAGATTGTAAGCACATTTACACTGCACACAGTTATTTTTTTGAAATATGATGCAAATATGTGCTTTGGGATAAACTTTGTCACGTTAATAGAACATTTGACTCTATGATTGCAGAGTGGCTCTATGTCTATCAAAGCTGATTGAGTGTGGGGTGTTGTTAACTCTTCCCCTTACCAAGCCAGCTCCTTACAAAATCCACGACAAGAACATTCCTGATCAGCTCAATCACCCTACACATCAATGAGACCACATCACACCAATACTCCCAATCATTTGACTAGCTCCCAATTTGGGAAACATTTTGAAATAGCACTTACCATTTTCAACATCCCCCGTGAACTCGCCCCTGCCAATCTCCCTTCCTCCTCCACCCCTGCCCTGTCATCTCACCTCCACACACTTTCTGCTCCAGCAACAAGGCTTTTTGTCAAAGCCCAGTTGGAAGTCGGTACTTTTTCTTTGCTGCCCTCAGTCTGGGATTCCCTTCCCCACATCCATCTGTGCTGTCCCTCTGACCCTGTTGAATTCCAGGCCTAATACCCTAGTTTTTTCATTTGCTTATGACTGCGTCTTTCTCCCGATAAAATAAATATGGCCACTTTTTGTACAGCATTCTGAAATGTCATATTTAGACACTACACATATATTAAATAGTACAGTAAAACCTTGGATTGCGAGTAACTTGATCTGTGAGTGTTTTGCAAGACGAGCAAAAATTGTGAATAAATATGAATTTGATAAACGAGCGAGGTCTTGCAATACGAATAGTACGTGTATACACTTTGTCTGCCGAGCGTCACGTGATCACAACTCATATACGAGTGCTTTGGATTACAAACACGTTTCTGGAACGAATTATGCTCGCAATCCAAGGTTTTACTGTATTAGTATATGGAAATGGTCACACAGAGTCAATATTTTTTCTGCACTATAAATGTGCAATGGAAATCGATTGTGCATGTCCTTGCTCTCTCCACAATGCAGGCTAGCTCAAACATCGAGTGGGAAAAGCACAGAAAGTCGTGAAGCATGCACAGAGAAATCTGTTAATATCCTGGAGATGCTGAACCGAGCAAGGGAGGTGTACCAGCAGGTCAGCACACATGACACAAACTAGTTGCCAATCATCAAGTTTTCTTAAATACGGTCCTCTGATAGGTGGCACAGAGGTCCGAGCACTAAACTGGCACTGCTGAGCTTGGCTTCAAGTCCAGGCAGCCACCTGTGATTAAACGTAGGTGCTACGGTTGTTAACTACATCGCCTAGTATGCTGGAGCTTGTGGGTTCAATTCTGACCCTGAGGCCTGTATTTGGAGTTTGCATGTTCTCCGTGTGGTGTGGATTTTTTTTTTCCGAGTCCTCCGGTTTTTCCCTCTAAATTTAGAAACATGCGTTTAGAGTATTTGGCTGCTATAAATTTCCACATGATAAGCTACTTTTCTGAGCTATCATTTGTGGCCAGGTCGCTTCTGAAAAGAGATATACACAGCACAGTGGGGTTTACCTGGTTAAATAAATATAGTTTATAGTTTAATTTATAGTAAACGGGGTTTGCAAGTGGAGTGAGTTGATAGTCACAACCCGGTCACCGATGACTCCACAAAAAACGATTATGCAAATTTTGGCTTTGCACTGAATGTAGCCCAATTCCAGCTCTTGGGTATTACAAATTTAACTGACCGTCACGCAATGAGTGTTTCTCAGAGTGGGTGGGGATTTTCTGACCCCGAATGTGTGGACCAGAAGTCCCTTGAAGGGATATCCGGTATCTCCGTGATATCCGCTTCCCTGGGCCAATCTCTTAACATAAAGGGATACATTACTTTGCTGGAGATACGAATGGATACTTCGTCTCAAGACACGGCATCGGTCACACAATTGTTAACAAAAATTGGGGTAAAGACCAACATTGGACGATACAGTTGTGTTTGGTCATCATCAGCCATCATCTTGTTGAATACAAATAGGGTAATTTGCAGCATTTTATTTCAAATATATTTTTTTGTCAGCGGTGCCTCTGGACATTTTCTTAAATTTATTTTTCTCATTGATCTACAGACGAGACCGGGACAGGAAACAAATGCAGCCGGTGCCCCTGGCACCACAGAGATACTCGCCGTTGCCCCAATGACAAGTTTGACGCATCAACAAGTTGCAGTATGTCTAGAGCATTACACATACATAGCCACACGTGTACATATTGGACTGAATATATATTCGCTATGTACTGCTTGTTATTTATGTTTAGAGAAAACAGTAATACATTAATTTTCAGTATTCTGTTTTTTTTAAACGGATACAAAACAGATGAAAACCAATTTTCACATCTATACGAGCTTTACGTTCGAGACTTGCGCTGTGCCACTTCCATTAACAACACCGCTTGTCACTTCAAAACAACCCACGGTGTGCCATTCTCACATGAAATTGTAACGGTGTCAGTTTTTTGACAGTGGCTGCTAACACGTGCCATTTTATCATTCTGTAAAGAAGTGAATCGGTCAGAAAAAGTAATAATCGAAACTCAAAACCAATTTCACAGAATCCCCCAGAGGACTCCTGCAACAAACGGCTGAGCGTGGCGGCGCTGCTTGGTACATGCGCACAGACGGACAGTGCATGCAACGCCGCCCCTTGTGACTCCGTGTCCCAGGGGACCAAGTCTTCCTGCAAACTGGCAGTGGCACGGGCCCTATCCTACGAGCAGGCTGCATCTTCGCAGCATACGGCAGCTGGAGAGAGACATAGCTTCCAGCAGGTGGCACCGCAGGCCCACTTGCAGTCTGTCCACGAGCCGCCACCGCCGCACCCTGAGGGCCGGTGTCAGTTGCCCGCACAGGTGACCATATAACGAAAGCACGGGCCAGACATACTGGAGTAATATTAATAATAAATACAGAAAAATCCTTGCAAAGTCTCTTAACGAGCAACATGAAGTATGGTCAATGCAGTGCCCATGACCCCAGTTGTTGGGAAGCCTTCATCCAGCAGTGCATTGATGAAGGGCTTTACATTCTAAATTATTAATAGTTTTTATACTGCTACCAAGTCTGAGTCATTGAGTGTCAAGTGCTTTCATTTTAAACCATTCACCCCCCCCCCTCACGAATGAATACATTGTTGCCGTTTGGTGTTGGAATTCAAATTTTTAAAATGATTACTTTAATGTGAATGTCGCGCTGCTACTGGCTGCAGCGGTCGCGTTAATTGATCACAAACTGTACATCAGGAAAGTAAGAACAGATTTTTATCCATGAATTTTTACATGGCTATTCTGCAAGAGGTAATTCGGGATGGTCCTGTTAATGTGGTTTCGCAAATCAAATATTGAAGCGAGTTGATGGCAGATATAACATTATTACAATTTCATTATTCACAAATTAACCAGCACCATGATATGCCTAACATTAACAACTTTACCGTTTGATTTAATGCATTTATTGCTTTTAATACAATTACAAGCTGCCATTATGGATGTCCCCTAGACTCAGAACACCTGATTCCTAAGATGTGTAATTTCTTGGAACATTTTAAATGCCAGTATCCCTTTATTCTTTATTACAGGTTCACCAGTGCCTGCCGTATGTGGTAGAATGCAGCAAAGACAGGGGCGAGAATGAGCAGCTGCTGCAGAAGCTGCACGGCAACCGCATTCCTGCAAAGCAGGGGGCCGCAATGCCCATCGTTCAAAGCTGCCCAGATTTCGGCAGCCCGGTGACAGCTCGGCAGATGCCGCCCGGGACCGCAGACTCGGGCGCTGCCACAGGCCAGGTTTGGCACAACGTCAGGCTGCCCCACGCGCCCGCCATGCAACCGGGAAGCTGCTTTGTTCCGCAAGCAGGCGGCCCAGAATTCCAGGGTGCACCTCATCTGAGGAGCGCGCTGCAGGCCGGCGATTTGCACGTGGCTTTGAAGAGCGGACAGACTCCGGGCACGGTGCCGCAGGGGAACGGCTTTCAGCCAGTGGCTGGGCTCGTGCAATCGAACACAGAGCCACCTCTCTTTGACTTGCTGCAGAAACTGCAGATAGTTAAACCGGAGCCACAGCATCAGCACCAACAGCAGCAGCATCAGCACCAACAGCAGCACCAACAGCAGCACCAACAGCAGCACCAACAGCAGCACCAACAGCAGCACCAACAACAGCAGCACCAGAAGCACCAGCAGCACCAGCAGCAACCTGGACATACGTCCTGCAGTGAAACACAACAAGGGCCCATAGTGACGCTTTTGTCACAGGTGAGCGTTGAAATTGCCAGTGCAGTATTGTGTGCGATGTGATGCATTGAGGAGCGGAGAAATTGAGCCTTTGAGGTTTTTGTCTTGTGTTTAGTGAATCTAGTGTTGCCGTATTATGCACAGTTGTGCTGTGTGGTGTGCTTTACAGGAGGATTTGAAAAAGTTGCCAAAAAGTGATCGAGAAAACCTCACATTACCATTTCCTGTGAGTTTATTATACTGCTTTAGAGTGCACTGCATTGCTGTTGCAAAGGTTACGTGATGTTAATAGACAGCATTGACATTACTAACGTGACATTCTTTACTTACAATTCAGGGCATCCGTTCGATATGAAAGCTACATTACAAATAATATGTTTAATATCAGGTATTCATCATGGGATGAGTAAATAAATAAATGCACGCATGAGCAAATGGAGACGAATGCGTAGAAGTATCGGGATGGGCATATACTTAGATTAAGATGAATACCCTACATGGTCGAATGAAGTTGGTTGATGAAATAGATAAAAGTATAGTGGGCATTATCATTACATCTAGTTCATGAGCTTACCAGGGCATATACCTACATCTTTTGTAATTTAATCTACAACCATTTTTCTTTGCCTCAGTAGGTAGCATCAAGTTGCACGGCATTGACACAAAACTAATGTGGCAAATTATCCACTGGGGGCAGAACCAATATACATCTTGAATGTCACGCTAGGGTGCATTTGATTAAGTATGTTGTGTAACGGCTTGTTACGTATTTCAGTATTTGCATGTTTCCAAGCATATGCAGTAGTTGTAGCGATGCCTGTTACCCATAGCTGTGTGTCTTCATATGATGCTCATCCCACCACAGCACATGACTGGGACGATGGCGGCCGGAGTCCTGCTTTCACCGCAGACATTTCAGCAGTCCTCCGTGAAATTGTCAGCGCCCAATGCTTCCGTTGCACAAAGCATGCCTCCCCAGATGGCCCACGAGACTTCTCATGGTGTCGTGAGCAGGTCCCACCTGCAGGAAACCCTTATTCACCTGCTCAAGGTATGGACACTTCGAGGAGTTTGTCTCAAAGGAGTAAATGTCCAGAACTATGTTGAGTATTGCAATAAATAACCATTTAATATAACCCCCATCAGTGTGATTTTGATATAGAAAAAATAGGGGATTCAATGGGACTCTACACTGGCATTCATGTAAACACATTTTTCCTGATTGTAGCTTGATGGAAAATGTGTTCCATGATCAAAAGAACTCAGCTCCCTTCTACAATTACACATTGAAAGAATAGTTTTTTTTGCCCTCTTGATGGTATGAAGAAAAGTTAAATGTATTGTAGAATAAAGCTTGAAAATGATCACAGGCCATGCCATTATTGACTGGCATTTGAAACTCACTGATGTAGGTTACATATTGAAAGTCTATTGAAATACCATCGCATAAGCTAAAATCAAGTCATGGTAATAACACAAGGTAGTGAAGAATATGTTAATTTATTGCACAATACAAATTACATTAAAGTACACCATTACATTCCAATGGGTATGAATTGAACATGAATATGATACAGTTGAGCATTTGAATATTATGTTTAATGCAGCAATAGATTATTTAACATTTGACAAGTATTCAGCCTCAATAATTAACACATCCCACATTGATTATCTCTAAAAGATTATCATTGATATCAAATCATTACCACATATGAAGCGAGTTAAAGAATGTTATAACTTAGTTCTAAAATACTATTGTGTTCTTTTAACTGCTTTACCATATAATATTGTTTTCATTCTCTTGTTTCCCCAGAACGATAATGAATTCCTCAATATCATCTATGAAGCATACCTGGAAAGTTCAAGAAAAGCCTCTCTCAATCTTTAATTCATCATTGCCTCGAAATTAGTGAAACTGGAAGTAAAATGGCACTGTGATGTAGAAATGACTTGTAATTAAGGAAAGACACATCATTTTAGTTCTCCGTTCTTAATACTCAATGTTCAGCCTCAAGCTTTCTGACATTTTTTTAGATGTAGCAAGCTGTTTATTTTGTACACGAGGTAATCTTATGAACAAGGTGAGATATAGCATTTATTAATTTGTCTTGACTGAATAAAATGTTTTTAACCTGTTTCAGCATTCCCTATGGCGTTATAATTTACAAGTAAATAATTGTATGAATTTCACTACTTTGTAGATGGAAATTTGCAGAAATGTTTTACTATTTTTATCCTAAGTTTTGAAGATCGTGTGTTTTTATTTTATTTACGGATTGTTGGAAGCTCATGTATATTTGTACTTTTATACTGTGATTTCAAAGCGACCTGGATTATTGAAAGAATAAAAATGAATGAATCTCATTGTAACAGGAGAGTTTTGCAGTATGTTTGGGAAAGTATTAACGAATTTGGAGAGTATTAAAATTTGAGCTATTTCAATCAACTTAGTTATTGTGACTGGCAAACGTTATCACATCCTCTTGCATATGCAGTGCACAGTATAATTGTATTGGTCCTCACGGGCTCTCTGACTTCCACGAGCACATGGAAATCTGTGTATCTTGTTCAAAACTTGTACGGCACAGACATTTGAAATAAAACATTCAAACTGCATTATTCAATCACATTGTTATTTTTTTTTGCTCTTGTAAATATTTGTTCCCTTGTACATTACTCTAGATTTCCAAAAACGTGTATGCAAGAAAATAATAAGCCTAATAGCCATTTGTGTTAGAGAAAAATAAATCCTTGAGTGAATGGTCAGTGGCATGAAGCGGCTAAGTGCAAGTTTATCGCGTTTTATTTCTGGAGAGAAGGCATGAAACGCTAAAGGAGGCTGTGGAAGAGATGGAGATATTAAATGTAAGTTCGGAGGCCAGTGCTAACCAAGAATAACTTAGGAATGAAAGAAAATGACATACTTTGGCCCAGTAGTGGGATTTTAGAGGCTGAGAACATCTAAATCTGCGTTTTCAATCGAGCTATTTAATGCATCAGACAGCTATTATGAACACATTGATAGGCCATATTCAAGCCTCGAATGCTAACTATTAACTACTGACTGCAATTAAACCGCGAGTAGGAATCTGACCCACCAAATGAACTGGTGAGCACAATCTCAACAGCATTTTCTCTTCATTCTGGCACGGCCGTTATGTATCTCATGGACCACTCATAAAAGCCACCCTTATCAATCACCAGTGCTCCTGTAAATAAAAACAGCTTCTAGCGAACGTTTTAAAGACTCCCATTAGTACTTAACCTTCAATTCCATGTCCATAAAAGAGTAAAATATTGTTAGTCTCAAAGACATTGGACTGGTCCCAACTCCCTGGGTCTCAGAAGGGCCAGGTGTGGTAGACAAATACTGTACCGCTGAATTACCGTATATTATTGGTAAGTGCGCTCTCGACACCATGGGCCATTGGCGCAAGAAACATTTTATACTTGTTGCTGGTTAACATTGACAAGATAGCACCTACCAATGGCATCTGTTAAAACATCATCAGCCATAGTGAATCCATTGCTGGAAAAAAAAGGAGAACCAGCTTCAACTGTGCATACTTCGCCATTACGATCATGGTGGGTTGGTAAAGTGTGGGGCGGGGGGGAGCATAGAAGTACTGCACAACAATGTATTTCCTGCACTGCCCTTTATAGCCCACCACGTTTCCCGGCATAGCTCTATAAAAAAACCTATCCGTAACGTGGTGGTCACCCATCCTTGCATCATACCTGTAAAGCCCATATCAGTGCCAATCTTATTACAGACCAATTCCGACCTTATTGGTCACCCACCTGCCCTTATACATCTCAACGTCCATCCGACAAAGTCCCATCACAAGGGAGAAAGACAAACAAATCTACTTTTTTTTGCCCATATTGAAACGGCTGTACGCCGTACGGACCTGAAAACTCTGTTTCCCTGTGCAATAATTGGGGGTAAACCGTATGGGGCTGACACGGTATGTGTCCATTATTCACATGGCTCAGCCATGGCTTTAGCATGCCCCGGTGTGATGAGTTCATTCATCCCGTGGGCTCAACTTTGACCCCCCCGCCACCCCCTCCTGAGCGCACGGTGACGTCACGCAAGGAGGGCTGACAGCGTGGCCCAGCGCTCGAGAGAAGAGAGAGAGAAGACGAAACTCGACGACGAACGCCACCATGAGCCGCTCCTACAATGACGAGATGGCCTTCCTCGAGAAGATCGACCAGAACAGCTGGCGCATCAAGAAGGGATTCGTGCCCAACATGCAGGTGCGTTGACGCTGCAGCTGCTGCTGCTGCTGCAAACTACCGGGGCTCCCGGCCCAAGCCTCCGTCTTGCCTGGATGGCCCGGCCGGGAAAGGCGCGGCCTTGGCGGCAGCGAATGCGCCGCCCACCGGGCACGGTGTTTTTTGAGTCCCTGGCTTGCAGCTGTCACGTTATTTCAGCTGCGCAGTAGCGTGCCCAGCGCTGTGTTTGAATGAATATTCTAGTCTGCTGTTGGTAAAAGCAAAAGTAACCGGAGTTCATAATTAATGCTGCATTGTAACGTATAGTCAAACCTGTGTTGCGCTCAGGAGTACAGTACTTTATCAACTAGCTCAACTCTACTCACAAATAACGCTTTACGCGATTTCGCGTATATGCGGATAACCTGTTTCTCACCAAAATTCGCTATATGCGGTTTGAAGTCACTGATGCGGCTATGCGGTCGGACGTGGGACAACATTGTGCGTGCTCTGTGCGCTGTGCGCTATTCGACATGCCTCTTGCGGTTTCGCTTTGTGCGCCCTGGGAATGCATCTACCGCATAAAGCGAGGGATGCCTGTATTAAGAAAGTAAATTGCTTACCATTTCAACTTCACAAACTCAACTGGTGACAAATTCGAATGCGAATTTGGCTGTTCTATTCAACTACACAACAGTTTTAACAAATTTATTTTGGAAGAAAAACCAACGAGAATACCCTTATAAATAATTTTTAACACATTACGATATAAAATTAGTCAATTTAAAATAGAAATAGTACACACACATCACGCTGTCTGAGATCATAGCTCATATCCACCCATAATTTACAGCAGAGGTCGAGAATATTTGCCTCACCAACTTCACTATTTCAGCCGGTCCCCTTGAGTTGTTGTATTCACTCATTCAATATCACCAAACTAATTTATAGTATTTATAGATTAACAAATTGCAGATCAATACTGTGTTCAATTCAGCAAACGGCGGATATCCTGCTACACGATTCACGAAATCAGTTAGCGTCTCTCTTACCCTTGTAGGTAACACAACTTTCAGGTCGCTTGTCCCTGGATGTCTATCTGACATGAGTTTTAAATCTTCATTCGGACTTAGTGCGTGATCTTATCATTGCCACTGCAGTGATGTGTTGAAACTCATTCACTCGAGCGTTCTTGTCCGTACCTTTTAATGTTGCTTTTATTATGGACAAACCTTCAATCTCGTGTCGTACACCCGAGGACACAGCCAAAAGTTTGGCCCTACAAAGTAAACCTGTTTATTATTTTTCGATTTAAAGCTTTCGTGACTGCAGGGATTCATATTCTTGGTTCTTTCGGTAAAGTCACGTAGAAGGGAAATAATAAAATAATAAAATTCTCACGACGTTTCGATTGCAATATAAGCAATCATCATTATTTGGGTGACATCATCACTGCACCTGCAATACTGTGCTGTACTGCCAAAGGCTTGCAAGTGTGCAATGTTGTCGTACTGTATTTCCATGCAATTACTACATTCGGGGTTTGCACATTTTAGGTGATTGTTAATGCAATTGTATATTGATTCTCATGTTTTATACATTTATCCGATAGTGTTGCTTGCACAATATGATTAGTTTATTGTAGGGTATATAGCCATTTGTAAACGTGTGTATTTGTAGTAAGTTATTGCCAAATGTTGACTTTTATATGCATTTCTAAATTTGTTTGACATTGGTTGCCATGCATGGACTATTTCGTGACGTGTTGGCATATGTCTGTACTTGTTGGAGAAATATTACTTAAGACTGAGTTATTGAATCTGTATGTGATACGGTCTAAAAGTATTATATAAATGTCAATATTAGATTCAAACAGATGTAAAAATCTAACTGACTTAAATATCCTTCACAAACATTTTTTACCGTACCTGGAAATCTTACGTAAGAGAGAGCACTTTATTGGTGCATGTCCTGCTTTGTTTTTGGCTGCAGGTCGAAGGGAAGTTCTTTGTGAACGAGCAGCTGGAGAAGCTCATGTTTGAGGAGCTCAGAAATGCCTGCAGAGGAGGAGGTACAAGCTATTCATCCAAGTGCATGCCACGTGTCACAAATGTCTGTTCCCGCAAATGAGAGAATAAAACACATTCCTGCGGAGGGAGCTGGTAGGAACGTTGGGTTGCTCGGTCAATCGCCAGGGTCAACGGCGGCGTGGTGTATTCCGCAAATATGCCCGACTGTGAGGGCGGGCACAAGCTGGCGTGAGTAGGTTAAACGTTGAGTTTTATAAGGGCACCACGGGGTGACCAGCCCCTCCCCACACAGCCCCACCCCTCCCACCCCCCACCCAGCCCCACCCTCCCCACCCAGCCCCTCCCTACCCTCCCCTCTCCACCCAGCCCGACCCCTCCCATTTTTGGATGCACGACGGACGGACACAATAATCCCCTGTGGGCTGGTGGAACCAGGTGGTTCCTACCAGTATATGTACAGTGCATGATGTACAAATGGAGGAGACGCGTCATGATGCATTGGTTAGTCGATTAATATGACTTATTAACTGTACGATGCAAGCGCTGCATCACGTTCATAAGAATGCATGTTTTTCGAACCTTGTTGCAAAGTAATCATAAGCAAGACATTGGGGCACAAGGTCAGGCAGTTTTCTGCAGACCTCATTGCAGGTGGTCTTGAAAAGGAGGCCTCATCTTGCATTTTGCCTCAGGCCTCCAAATAGCTTTTAGTGTCCCTGTTTCTGTACTTGAGCAAGATGAGGTGAAGTTTCTTACCGACACAGCTAGATGGTGCACTACACAGTGCTGAAACAATGTTTCTTAATGACTACTATAATTGCCCAGAAATGTGTGTAACGCACGTGACGTCACTCCACATGCCGCACCCCCCCCCCCCCGTCATTAATAATAAAATTATAATGAGCGGCTGGATTTTTACACTCACGCGGAAGAAGGTCGAGTGGAAAGATATTTTTTTTCGAAAAGTCGCTTCAAAAATGATGACGCTTCTTTACAGAAAGTGACGGTCAAAAATAAATCACTGCAAAAGAGTGTGTGTGTGTGTGTCCCCCCCCCCCCCCCCGTTATTACTATCATAAGCAAGACATTTTTTAATGCAAATTCACTTTAAATTTTACGTTTCTTTGTTGAAAGTTACTCAAATAAATAACTCTACGCAGACGTTTCTTTACTTAAATATTACAGCTTCCATCCTGGGACGGGCAAAAGGCTGGTTACAATATATTTAAACAAATGGCAAATGTGTTAACACGATTAGTTTTAATCCAGAGCTGTCTGAGTCATAGAGATTGGCTCGGTGCTGAGACTTATTCCCAGTTGACAGGTTCCACTTGTTGGTATAGCAAGTGGTGACTGTGATATTGCATATTGAAAAATATTCTCAATTAACTATTAAAAGTGACACCGTTTTTTCACATTTTCTTATCATTTTCATTTGTGAGTAACGTGTCTCATTGTGCATGACAGGTATTGGTGGATTTCTGCCCGCTATGAAGCAGATCGGCAATGTGGCTGCATTGCCCGGCATTATACATGTAAGTTAAGCAGCTTACCTATCTCCATTGTGAAACACATTGCGCTACTTGTCAGCATTGAATTGCCGTTGCATTAGGTTACCACTGAAGTGAAGATGCCTGGGTGCTTTCTTTACATTATCCCCAAGGTCTTAATACTCATAAGCAGGGTTCTTCAATTCTATTTTCCGATGGCCCACGTAATACAATTGATGTGTGCTGACAGCCCACGTGTTATGGCATCACATGGCATCATGAGCTGTACATGTGACCACAAATCTGTACCCCGTGCTTCTTGATTTCTCTCTTGTTTACTTCTGTTTGATCTCCTAATCTGCATCTCTTATCCAGGTCTGTCATCGCTCTCTTTCATCTCACTAGTCTGTATTCACCTGTCAGTTGGCCACTCCAAGAGCTTTCCATGGACCACATGTGGCCTGTCAGTTGAAGAATCCTGCTGTACATTATCACCGGGCGCAATGGCAATGAGTGATTGCATCTCACATTTGTGATGGCACTTGCATTATTTCACAACCCGTAGACTTGACAGCAGGAGGCGCTGTTCTCTGACACCAATGCCTGTGTTCCATTGCAGAAATCCATTGGCTTGCCGGATGTTCATTCTGGCTATGGCTTTGCCATTGGTAACATGGCTGCCTTCGACATGGAAGACCCCACCTCTGTGGTGTCGCCAGGTATGGTGGAAATATGTTTCGGGAGCATTGTCCTTTGCGTGCACTTTGCTAGCGCGTTTGTGAGTGGCTAGCCACCAATACATATTCACGAAGCACTGCAGAAATCATACATTTCGCCGAATGTGAACTATTCATTGGCAAAACGTCATCCGGTGTAAATTTAGTCCACATTTATAATTTAAATACCAAGTTAAATCCGCAAACTTAAGACTTGACTAAAATTGCACGGGTAGCCGTTGAATAGACGAAGACTGTGACCAACATTAACAACGGTGTTGACACTGACGGCAGGCGGCGTGGGCTTTGACATCAACTGCGGCGTGCGGCTGTTGCGCACCAACCTGGAGGAGAGTGACGTGCAGCCTGTGAAGGAGCAGCTGGCGCAGGCGCTGTTCGACCACATCCCCGTGGGGGTCGGTTCCAAGGGAGTCATCCCCATGGGTGCCAAGTGAGTGCAGCCGCTCACAGAGTTCTCTCTGTGATGCAGGGGTGGAGAGCCTATGGTCCATGACTTTATTTCACTGTTTTTATTTTATTTTACCAGGTAAGGCCCACTGAGCTACGTAGCTCTTTTTCCGAAGCGATCTGGCAACAAAATTTCGTGTGGAAATTTCTAGCAGCCAAATAATTTTTAACGCATGTTTCTAAATGTGGAGGGAAAACCCGGAGGACCACACGACCACGGGGAGAACTTGCAAACTCCAAATATACAAGCATCAGGGTCCGGACCAAACCCACGACCTGTTGCATACCAGGCGAGGGAGATAACATCTCACCACCGCGGAAATTATGGCTTACCACTTCGTAATGACCAGCAAATGATATGCATCTGCTGCTGCGAAGCATCTTAGCCACTTTAAGTGGGTAATAGAGGGGCTTTTTTGACTTGGCAACACTGTTTTAGAAAGAAAATGAGCACTAATTAGTATTCACATTATTGAATAATGCAAAAGAAATGTGTTCATGCTAAAGGTTTTTGAAAGTCCTATTTAGCCCTTGGTGAGGCAAATATCCCCTACCTTTGCTGTAAATCATGGGTGGATATGAGCTATGATCTCAGACAGCGTGATGTGTGTGTACTATTTATATTTTAAATTGCCTAATTTTATATCGTAATGTGTAAACATTTATTTGTAAGGGTATTCTCGTTGGTTTTTCTTCTAAAATAAAATTGTTATTATATAAAATGTTCACGGCAAAAAAATGATGCCTATGTTGTGACGTTATGTGGCTTTCTAAAATAATATATGAATTCACAACCACATGCCATGTCTGGCTTTCTTCCAGCAATCTGTTCCACAAAGTAATTGAAATAAAATGGGGATCTAAGCAGGGCCCCGAGGGTGTGTGCTTATGTGCATCATTGTTAATGGTGTATCTTGGCAAGCTTTACCCTATTTATACTGTTCATCGTAGCATAGTGGCTGTCAGATCATCATGGACACGCCTAGCGCATTAGGAGGAAAAGGACATTTTGTTTGTTGAGATCACAGCTCCACCGTCAAGACTATTCACGCATCTGTGGTTCATGTTCTGAGCAAAACTAGTTTGACGTGGATGCCTTTTAACTGTGTCCGTGCGGGTGTGTGTGTGTCATAAGTGAAGTGGTGGCATCGTGACTAGGTCACTGCTATAATGTGTGCCAAAAATGGAGTGGTGGCTGATTGATTAGTTCATTGTGCTATGAACCCAGCAACCTGGGTTCAATTTATGACCATGGCTAACATCAATAGCAAGTGATATCTGCCCTGGTGCTGGGCCTCCCCTGGGTCGACTTGGCCTTAAATTAGTATCTGGTGCCCATGTGTAAATATCAGCACATGGGAGACTCAAGTTGGCCAGCTGTGGTGTGGGCCACACTACGCCATTTTAGTGCCGTTCTGACTTTAATAGATGCTCGCTAACAGCACTGACCCCATCAGTCTATATGACTATAGGGGGGTCTTTGTGGTTTGTCAAAAGGGACTTGGAGGAGGCTCTGGAGATGGGGGTGGACTGGTCTCTGCGTGAGGGCTATGCCTGGGCAGAGGACAAAGAACACTGCGAGGAGTATGGCAGGATGCTGCAGGCTGACCCCAACAAAGTCTCCTCTAAGGCCAAGAAGAGGGGGCTTCCACAGGTACGCAGGCTGCTTGATTTCCAAGGCACTCAACCCTGCCATGCCAACTTGACACACAAAGCCTGAGATTCACACTGCTAGTCTGCCGTAAACTAGTGGATAACTCTGTTCTGTGCTGATGTGCCCTAGATCTGCCTTGTAGTTTAGCTGGTAACTGGCTAAATTGATTTTTTTGTGTAACAAATGAACACGGATTGATTGAGTTCTCAGAGGTGTACAGTTCTATGTTCTAACGAGGCATGTAACAATTAATTATCATTCCCACCGTTTGATTCGATTAATTAACACAATTGAGAGTCAGGATTCAATGTAACAATTAAAACATATTTGAATGCGGTTGCATTTAGACACTTTATCATCCCAATTTTACACATGCACTGTTCGGTGGCAGTGGCTTGTGAATGCATCCAGCAGTGGATTAATCATGAGTTGAGAATGACGATAATTACTACTATAATGTGGAACGCGCGTGACGTCACTCCACATGCCGCCCCTCCCGTCATTAATATTCATGAGCGGGTGGATTTTTACACTCTCGCAGAAGAAGATCGAGCGGAAATACATTTTTTTTCGCAAATTCGCTTTAAGTTTGACGTTTCTTTATTGAAAGTGAATCTAACAAATAATTATACGCAGCAACAAACTGGATTTGGTGTCTTCATTTATTTCTACAGCACTAGAGACAAAGGATAAGTCTAATTTATGCTTCTACATTATGGAAAAATAGACATTTAATGGTGATTTTCCAGATATTGTATCGATTTCCAATTAATTTCAACCCCAGCGACCGAAAGCAGACGAGAATAAAGTATCAGAGCAGTGAATTTGAACAAATTGAAGGTCAGTTATATACAGTGCTACAGTGACATGAAGTGAGGTGTTTCATGACGTAGTTTTGTGCAAGAATCACTGCCATTAACACAGTGCTACAGTGAACTGCAGTGAAGTGTTTGATGACATACTTTCGTGCAAGATCCACTGCCATTAAATTTACACAAGATATACAATTGTACTCTGCTCAATTTTATTCGTAAATATTACAGCTTTCGTCCTAGGACGGGCAAACAAGCGAGTCAATAAATAACAATTTGCATTTGAATCCCCCCACCCTCAACCAGTATATATACAAGGACTATTTTCTTGGAATTTCTCTTACTTGAAACAGCAATCGTGCTGTGACGGTTCCACCTGAAGACGGAAGCTTGTGTCGCCTCCGAAACGTCGTGATTTTATTTTTATTTTACTTTTATTAATTTAAATTTTTTACCTATGTGACTTTACCGGAAAAAACCTAATAATATTTAAATCCCCCTTACAGCTGGGCACACTGGGTGCCGGAAACCACTACGCTGAGATTCAGGTGGTGGATGAAATCTTTGACCAGCACGCGGCACGCAAGATGGGCATCGACCACACCGGGCAGATCTGCGTCATGATCCATAGCGGCAGTCGGGGGCTTGGCCACCAGGTGGCCACAGGTAAGGCCATCTGTTCAGCAGACCACGGTCACACTTTGGGAATAGTCTTGCAGGTGCTGTAATGGGAATGCAAACAAATACATGATAATATGGGGGCATCCTAATTGAATAAGAGGACAGGCAGTTGATAAATATCATTGTCATAATGAATGTGGACATTTTTTTTGTAGATATTGAAATATATTGGGATGAACTTTTAATTTTAAATACCCCCTCTGCGTTTCATAACCAGTTGCAAATTATCTACATTCCTAATTAATGCGTTAATTCATTTTCTCTGCATTGTTGCATGTTTTAATTTCAATATGTATGTGGGATTGTCTCGATAATGGTTACTGTTCTAAAGAGATGATTTAATTATCCATGGCATTGCCAGAAGTAAAATTTCATTTTAAAGCGGCACGCAGTCTTAAATTTGCTGCTGGTGCTGAGGGAATATCACCAACCACATACAAAAGCTGGCAATTTGGTAACGGTCCCACATTTACTTTTTTTAGTGTGGCCAAGCTATGAATTGTGAGCTAAAGATCGCTGCACCGAGAAGTGAGAGCTCTAGATCTCGAGATCACCTTTTACAGACACTTCAAGTGCTTCCAATTGCTCAGCTACTGAAGTGACATTTTGGATAATTGCTTTTCAGATTTAAATTTTAACACCCCCAGTTTTTTCACGGTTTTGTTGGAAAAAACCCCTGGTGGTGCATAATTTAAGTGCCAAATGAAGCTGATTATTTCAGAAATAACATGAGGATGTGTGCGTTCATTAATTTTTCCCCTCTATTTTAATGCTGAATTTTTCTCAGCATTTTGCCCAGCACAATTAGTGCATCCTCGGCTCCAGGCTGGTGTCAACACTTGGTCTTCTGAGTGACGAGCCGGATTTTGACACTTTAATTATTCCACACATTTCTATGAATGCATTATCGGGTGCGCGCAAAAAAAAATGTAAAAGATAATCTCGCGCTAATTTCTCTGCAGAGTAAGATTCATTACAAATAGAAAACTGGTAGTGGTGCAAGACGTAATTATATGGGTGCTGAATATCATCCTCATCAAATAATGGATTTCTTTTCTTATTTCAGATATTTCCTCATAGGTCACCAATATAATTTTTTTATTATTACTATTATCTCATGGCCTATACTAAACGGTGTCTCGTGTGACCAAGAGATGCATTTACAATGTTTTACTCTATTTAGAATAGATGCTTGGAATGCATTTAAACTAATGTGTTAATTTTTTTTAATTATTTGTGTTTTGCCTTCGGCACTTTGTGGTCTCTTTGCTTTGTACATTTCCAAAGGGTCCCACTTGTTAGTGGATAGTTACTCGTGCACACTGACAAATGAATTCTGTCCTATTTGCATTTTTTTTCTTTCAAAACAAAAGCACATTTGTAAACCCTGCGGCGTTTGGTGAATTCGGCATCGTCACAAGGCAGGCAATTTCAACTCAACGAGGTTTGCCATGTATAAGAACGTGAGAGAGAAAAAAAAACTGCTCACATGAGAATAAAAAAAAGTCCTTTTGTTAAACGTCTACACTGAGCCTATGCTGGTGCACACAGATGCGCTGGTGGCGATGGAGAAGGCAATGAAGCGAGATAAGATCATCGTGAACGATCGGCAGCTTGCCTGCGCTCGCATCAAGTCGCAGGAGGGGCAGGACTACTTGAAAGCCATGGCCGCTGCCGGAAACTACGCCTGGGTCAACCGCTCCTCCATGACGTTCCTCACCCGTCAGGTACCTTCGTGGTAGTCCGCTTCAGTCACTCGGCGGTCGCTTGTGGAATTTCGAGAAAACGCTCGTGAGATGGCATGGTTTATGTACCTTACCTCCCCTACTGATATCCCAATTTGCCTCCTACACGATACCCGTATCTTTCTTCATTTACTTGATCATGCATTGGTTGTGGTGGTTAGCGCACACTGGATTTGCAACCTCCCGCCGTGGCATTTGAAGTAATGCGCCAGTTTCTTGAATCCCCTTTTGCCTCTCATCCCAGCCGTATGTATGGGTATGCCACAATTGATCGGCGGGGTTGCGTGTGTTGGCGTAAAGCATCGGTACTCCTGCCTCTTCTAAGACGTATGGCCAGCGTGGAAGAGTGGGACAAATACCCTCTAGAGGAGCTCTCTGGAGGCCGCTTCCGCCCAGCAGTGGCGCGATTGAGCAGTTGCTGGACTGCACCTTTATGAAACTATTTCTTACTTACAGGTCAAAAAGATAAGAAATCGGAAGAGTTTTGAAATATATAGTAACCCTTTAGCTTAACGTAGTAACAGGTTTTAGTCGATTTGTATGAGCTCATCACCAATACTTTTTGGTCAGAATGAGCACTCATTAAGCTGTTTTTTTATTAAAATTATTCAGGTAATGCAGTAACCCTGAAGTGAAGGCTGAATTGGAAGCTCTCTTTCTCACTTGTAATTTGTGCCTTGATTTTCTTCCACATAGTACTTGGCATGAGCCTGTAAGCCTACCTCCAATAATTATTAATCTTTACTTTCTTACATGCATCTATAATTATAGATAATAATTAATTATAATTCATGATTTCTGCGATACATATTTGATGGTGATTTAAGCGGAGGAGATTTTACTGTTTCAGACTTGCTGCGTATGTTTACATTGTGGTTTATGGTTACGTCCTTCACTCAAATGGTTTTGGAAATGTAAAAGGAGATTTATGAACCTACAGAGATTTTTTTTTTAAGCACAACTATTACTTGCGAATGAGAACATTAAACATCTCAGTTTGGATATCCTTCACATCATCATTTGTCAAACAAACTGATGAGCCAGTCGATTAAGGGAGCCTCCATTTTGTTTTGGGGTTATGAAATATACAAATAAACACGTGCTAAAATTTGTACTTAACTTTCGTGACGGCAGGAATTCGTATTGTTTGGTTCTTTCGGTAAAGTCACGTAGATAGAATTTTTTTTTAATTAAAACCACGATGTTTCGATCGCAACACAGGCGGTCATGCAAATGTACCAACGCGCAAATGGTCGGTGGCTTAAAGCTACGTGCTAACATCCTAACGCACGCACGCACGATAATGGTGCATAGCATAACATTGCATTCACTTAAAAAAAAATTAAACACTCTTTTATATTTCATTGCCATCTGTACCCATATTATAGACAGATTTGGGTAATGGTTGTTGGTAAGCTATGTGCTAAATTGTATAGTGATTGGTTTGGGTTTTTTTTTTAGTTTTCGTTAACACATGCAGTAGCCTCGAACAGAAGGGGGGCGGGACTTAATATTTTCCAAAGCATAATATTTTATGATCTTACCATAAAGTTGGCCATGGAATATCTTTGTTCATTCATTTCTCATGAATTCATTTATGGGTTTTATTTAAAGCCTGGCGAGAAACCGTTGAGATTAACGATCTTTTTCAAGGGACCCCCTGGGTGGAAGAAAAAAACGATCCAGTATGACAAACGGTCAACAACGTCAATGCACACAATCTGAAGTAATCCAAGTTTAGGTATTCTAATATTTATACTTTGCAATATAACTGAAGATTTTGTTATACCCATTTTAAAATAGGTATAGTTTTGGCATAGCAGTGGCACAGTAGATGGTTGCTTAACATAAAAGGGTTGCAGTATAACATGCACGGGTAGCAATTACGGCAGAATAATTTTTGTTACCAATTTAGCCATTGTCCACCCACTGCTGGGTGAAGGCTACCTCGCATCGTTATCATTCCTCACAATCCGGAGCTGCTCCGATCAATCCATCTCACTCCTGCACGTGAACTGATCTCATGGCTCCATCTCCGCGTTCTCTCCATTTGCTGTCTCCAGTCTCGTAGGTAAAACATCAAAATTAATAAAAAATAAATAAAATAAAACAAAAATCACGACGTTTCGGAGGCAACACAAGTCTCCGTCATCAGGTCATCAGATGACGGAGACCTGTGTTGCCTCCGAAACGTCGTGATTTTTTTTTATTTTATTTATTTTTATTAATTTTGATGTTTTACCTACGTGACTTTACCGGAAAAAACCTAAGAATATGAATCTTTGCAGTCACGAAAGCTTCAAATCTAGAATTGTCTCCTGTCTCATTCATCGGCCGTCATCCCTTCTCGCGGTGTGTCCTGCCTGACCCCATTTGCTTTTCTTAACCGTGTCGGTATGTTGTCTCGTGGGACACAGCACAGGAAATCCTATCGACGTGGTGCCAATGTCATTCATGTTATTGTTGTCCAGGCTTTTGCAAAGGTTTTCAACACGACGCCCGACGACCTGGACATGCACGTGATCTACGACGTCTCGCACAACATCGCTAAGGTGGAGGAGCACATCGTGGACGGGAAGATTCGGACGCTGCTCATTCATCGCAAGGGATCGACACGAGCTTTTCCCCCACACCACCCGCTCATCCCCGTCGACTACCAGGTACGCGGGCGGGGGCCTGTGCCTTTAGACCCGAACCACTGAGCAGACACAGCCCTCCATGCCTCCACATACCATGCCGTGATATAAAGATGCAAGTAGATTATTTTGTTCACAATATGCATCTACATTTACAATCCTTTTGGCAATCCACTGCGAGCTTAGCGCCTCCCCCACCCTTTGCAGATCATAACGTTTCGTTTTGCAATGCTCTCTACTGACAATATAGCCCTGTAGCAGCTTACAGCAGGATGGCCACAGTTGCAATCAAAGCACTCGGAGGGTGGGAGTAGATCAGTGCATTTCGTCAACCAGATACCACTATTGTGAAGTCTAGAATCGGTGTCCCCATGCTCAAGAGAATGATCGGGTGGTGTGCATCAGTTTCGGCGGTCGAGAGCTTGTGGTATAATAATAGTCCCACTTGTCCAGAAAAGCCTAGATGAGTCTTCAGACTAATTTCAAAAAGGTTTCTGCACTGTGGCCAATTCCTCTTGAATTCTGTAATGATAGTACCATGTATTTATCGCTGGAGAATAGCCACACTGAGCCTCAAGAACCAAATTACCAATTTCAAGGATCGTCCTGCATTGGCGTGTTTTGCCAAAAAAAATTAAAGAAAATGTTTGCACTGCTTAAAAACATCTCATTCTATAGCAGATACAAGTCTATCTATAGGACATCTGCTATTCAGTACCACCATTAATGTTGATCAGGTGGTGATATTTTTGTTTTATTCTGGAAGGAATTACCCCTGGTTGGGTGTTGAACGTGTGTTATCAAGGTGGAGGAGACTGCTTTTCTGCCTGAGCAGTATCTCAGAGTTTTTGACCTTTCCGACAAGGCACTGCCTCAAACCGTGACTGCAATTTGTACGTCTGATCCGTGACTGACACAGCACGTCAGTTTGCCTGAATGTGGACGAAGAAATGGAACCCTGTTTGTTGCTTACCCCTCGTTTGAGGTCAAAGAGCTTTACATTTATTTATTTTCAAAGCGCAGCACATCGGCTTTGAAAAAAAATGACAAAACGTGATTGAGTGTTCAGCCCCTGGCTGTTCAAAAAATCTTTCTTTTTTGTAAGAGCTACTTGGATTCTGCTGAAAAGCACTATAGCGTCCACACGGTAGGCTCCTGTAAGAGTAGAACCTCGTAGGTTAGGTTTCAACCATGCAACTGCTGACCGATCTGGCAGAACGAACTAAGTGGTGGCAAGGTATGGTGGCACCATGATGATCTTGAATGTTATTAGGGCGGTGACATGGCATAGCTGTAGCACGTTCGCCGCTCGTTGCAGAGGCTCGAAGCCAGCGGCCGCCCTGGTTAATACTGCGTGTTATAACCCTAGAAATGCGCACCTTCTGTTTTATAGCGGACATTAAAGATCTTGTGACATTATTAGCAACAGTACTCTTGAAGGTATAATAGAAAAGAGTTAATACCTTTCTAGAATTGACCAAGGTTATAAGAACTTGAGAAAAGACATGATATAAGGAAATTCCAAAGTCGAGCAGTACGAGGAAAGATGCATAAAGAGAGAGGTGTTGTGAGCAGCAGTGGGGCTGTTGAATACAGTACGGATGAGACAAAACAGTCAGCCTGGTAGTCCCGAGTCTTGAACATCGGTGAAGGAATCTAGGAATGAAGTTCGTGGGTACATTACACTGGTCGACAAAAAAAAAACATGTTTTTCTGGCCTGGACTTTTGCAGCTGTTTTAGACTAATTTCAGGGTGCTGATTCCAAATCTGATCTCAGATTTGCTCTATCACATCTCATTTTATGCTATCGGCATACCCCATTTTCATTGGTTTTACCCGAAATTAACTCTCTCACTTATGATTGCAAGTTGTTGCGAGTCAGTGACTGCTTTAGTGTTAAAATATGGTGCTGCATTTTTAGGATAGTGTGTTTATAATATATTATGTAGATATCCACATTTATTTAATATTTTTCTTCTGCAGTTTTTATTGAAAATGCAATATTTGATAGACAAAAACTGATGCCAGATTTGGAATCGGCACACCAAAATTACCTTAAAACCGTTGGAATACCTTATGCCAGAAAAAAGTGTGTTGACCAGTGTTATCAATGGCAGTAGCCATAGAAGAGTGATGAGTCTAATGAAATCCGATGAATCAATGACTGGAGTGAATCGCTGAGAGCTGGGTCATCGATCAACCTGACTGCTTCACGTTGAATTCCATCCGGTCTTATCTCCGCCACCCTCCGCACAGCTGATCGGGCAGCCGGTGCTGATCGGTGGCACCATGGGCACCTGCAGCTACGTGTTGACGGGCACGGAGGAGGGCATGAGGCAGACTTTCGGCACCACGTGCCACGGAGCGGTGAGCCCCATCCAAGGCCGTGCTTTGTTCTGTGCGCCGACTATTACCAAAATGAATGAATCCATTAATTTTTCCCGCGGTGTTCTAATGGCGCTGTCGTTGTGATGCCGTGCTGCCGTGCGGTGCTTGCGGGAAATCTGCTCGCGCCTGATTTATGCGCCGAGAACCTGCGCGGGTAATTGATTGATTCATTTTCTTCAACCATTGTTAATTTTTTTTTTCTTTCCTCAGCACGGTATTGAAATTATCTTGCCGTGCCTTAATTACATCGCCTAAATCAAGTTTCAGAAGAAATGTATTGCGCGGCGTGTTATGTTGCGGCAAATAAATAAATGAGGCATTCTTACATGAACATATGTTCATGCAGAAATTCATTTAAAAAAAAATTGCAAATGTTTATTTTTATTACTGTTTTATGCAGCAGTTAATTCTTTTCTGAAATGATGTAGGCCTGAAGTATATGAGTAATCGCAATTCTGTTAGTTTAAATATTAATTTAATTAACCAGTATTTATTTTGAGATTTAAAAATATGGGAGCTATGGCTTGTAAGGTTGAACTTGACACCTCGGACACCCAAAAAGGTCAAATCTTCAATGACCCATAACTGGGAAGCTGTTTGAACCATTGGCTTCCAATTTAGAATGTTATCATAGTACGTACAACTGTGCAATATTTCATCAAGGTTGCAGGTGTGAATTATTTTCGTATTTTATGACGCTGACATTTGCTATATCTGCAGTTCGTATATAATGCACATGACCTCTTTTGTGAAAAATATTTGGGTTACCATACCTACAAATAGATTTGTACAATTTTTATTTTTTATTACAGGTGCTTTTCAAAGGAGGATATAATGCCATTGCACTTTCATACGGTACCACGGGGTCACTGTGTTTCAAATGAGGTAATATTAGTATATTCAAAGTTGTAACACCCCGATGAAATCACTACCCATGCATGCCTAAGTGGCAAGTGTGCTGACTCAGAGGTAATTATACATATAGGCTGCAACCAGCCCATCCGGTGAAGGGAATGAATAATTTTGTAAATCACAATCCTTAATAGAAATGAATTGCACGAGTGACCTGAGTTTAAATTAAATAATGTCTGCCTGGATTACGCCCAACCCAAATTCTCAAGTGGCCGTTGTAGACACACATGTGTCGCCCAGATTATTATTTTACAAATTATATCCAATTCTCAGCTCGGAGAAATCTGGGGAATATGAAAAGCATTAAGGAATGTCAATATCCCTGTAAAAGTAGCATGGTGAAAATATTTGACCGTGTTTTTTTTGACCAAGGTCACCATAATTCCTCGGTTTCTTCTGGTCAAAATGAGCCCTTGATCAATTCTGTACTATATAAATGACTCAACTAAGTGATGTGCGACTGACAGACGGAAGTCACAGGGGTAGAAATTAAGTTTCTTATAATTAAGATCACACACACTGCGATAATCTGTGTTTAATTCGTACGTTTTTTTTTTTGCATGCTCAACAGGGGAGGGCCCTGTCTCGCGCCAAGTCTCGCCGCAACTTGGACTACCAGGACGTGCTCAACAAACTCGCCGACCTGGGCATCGCGATCCGGGTCGCCTCGCCCAAGCTTGTCATGGAGGAGGTACGACCTCGTGGTTGCATTTTCCACTGCCCCTCCCCTGCTGCACCCACCTCACTCGTGCACACCCAGCCCCTCCGCTCCCATCCGTAGCCCTCAAACGCCCTCCCCCTCATTATATCAGAAGCGAGCATTGCTTGAATTGGGCAGTTGTCAGTGGCAGATCGTCCATTTCCCCGTTTGATCACCCACTTAAAAACGACACAAAAACTACACCCATCTCCCCAGAATGCGGGCATAATAAATGCCAGCCGTTCCGCACGCGTGTGCTTGAGACTCGTGCTTTTTTTCGTTATTAACCCATCCATTATCTATTATTTGCTGCCACATGCCTTTAGAGATACAGCACTAATGAGCAGTTAATTCAGAGCCATCTGTTTGGAATGGAGTGATTTTTTTAAACAGTTCCTCCCAGTGGGTGATGAATTGCAGCACTCTCCCGAAGCGACGATAATGTTAAAGCGTGCGCGATTGTCTCTCTGGCTGTTGGCCTCTATCACGCGGGCAGCAGGGCACCCGGAGTAAGCTCTGCGCAAGAGCAGTTATCGCTCGCGTCCAAGACGGTTCTGGTTCAAAACGCAATCCGGGACCCCACAGTGATGTGATTGGCGCGGCATATCAAAGGGAACGTTAAGCTCGCTCTTACGTGGGCATTAAGGGAACCTGCTCTCGCTCATTTTTGCTAAAACTAGGCCATGGTGTGCCGGTGTTGAGGTTGAATTTTGCACTTTCTGCTCGTCAATACTCTCCTGACACAAACAGGGCCTCGGCACCTCCGATTAGCACGGTTGCCTATGTACGATACAAAAGAAGTTCAACATACATACAAGTAGCGGCGTGCACCTTAACTGAAGCTAACCCAATGTTAAGAATTTAATTAAAGCCGTTTGACGTCAAAAGATGCATTGAGCCTCGGAAGCTAGCAGTTTGACGACACTGCACTGCGGCGATAAGCATTCTCTTTGTATACTTTACTTCTCCCGTCTAAGTGTCATGAGTCGTAAAATGTTAAGTTTTTTCTCTTCCACCGCCACGTGAAATGTTATCATCCCGTGAATTCTGCCCTTTTCTCATTCATGTGAAATAGACTGGAACGATGCAGGTGTGTGCATGTCAGTGATTACATTCTCCACACAGGGGAGTACATCAACAAGCTAGCTCATGCTCGCTAGTACTAACTCGTAATAAATAGTACCAGCTAGCTTGTTGATACCATTACGGAATATCATCTTGCTAGTACGGAACACGGTCTGTATTGACTTCACGGCATTGGCTGCTGACAAACAGGCTATTGCGATGAAACTTGCTTCGGACACACGCCCCATAAAACGGCTTCATTTTTTTCACGAACGTTGCTCCCAGTCGTGATGTTTGCTCGCAAAAATGTTCCGTGCACGAATAACCACGTCTCGAAAACCTTGCTTAGCCAAGTGAAATCCAAGGCTGGAACGTGAGTGCCGTCCTCGGACACTTTGTTGCGTATTTTCCTTTATTTAGGAACGTCGCATAACTGATTTAAAATCGCAATTTTGCAGCCTTCATTTAACCCCAGTTATTATCGTGAGCAGGCTGCCTTAAACCCAGACATCGTAGCTCATGTCTGCAGTGTACTTGTGCCGTAAATTGTGAGCGACAGGCGCGGCACGGGGCCCACACTCGCACGACCGCCACCTTCTCCCAGGCCCCCACCGCGTGCTGCTTTGATATTTAATGTGGTCATTAGCACTTTCCTGTCTGACCTCATCAATGGGATACGATGGTTGTGGCTCGAGTGTTCATGAGGACGGGTTGTTGTGCTCAGTGCTCTGATGAAGCCGCCCCAGGTTGTGTGGGAAATGATCCATAGCCAGCCCTACTCAAGTGTCACCTTCGGTGCGTGCCTCCGAGGCACTCACCGCCTCTGTCTGAGATTCATTGCTGCTGCCCTTTGCTTTATTATGGTTTTTTCTTCTTCGCCATTTGCATAGCGTTAAAGTTTGAAAGGAAAAAAAAATTCGCGTGAACTTTGGAAAATGTATTCCTTGCTTTGACATGTGTCTGTGCCGTGAGTTCAATTGAGTGCATTGCACCGAGTACATTTGGCTTACACCGAATTCCCACCCCCCTCTCCCCACCCTGGAGATTTGATGAAATTCTGCAATACAATTATTTTTCACATTAACTAATTACGTGCAACATCTATAACTATCAAATAGGCTAATCTCACATATATGATTCTGTGCACGTGTTTTGAGTGTGAGAATGGATTTTAATCGATGACTTGATACATCGTTACACCGCTATAAAAATATATATTATTCATATTTTTTTTTCTTGATCCTTAGTTTGTAGATATCCACACACTGCATATAGAGTTAATATTATAATACACTATGCAAGCCAATTATGTTTGGGCATCGTGCCTGCCTATCCAAGGGAACACTGATTAACATGTCCTCATTCCTCGGTGTTGTTTCGCTTGTAAATTGGCCTACCACGTTTTTGTCTCATCAATAATCTTGTCTTGTGAACGTTGTAATTCCCATTCATTTACGGAACCGACCACAAATCCCCTGGATGATGGCTCCATAGCTCTGTTAATTTGCACTTGGCATTGTCAACAATTAAAACTCCTATTCCAATTACATTGAGATTATTGCATCCAAGGCATAGAGCCACATTTCCCTTAGATATCACCATACTATACATTCATTTCAGGATAACGTGCAGTGTCCCTTTGAAGTGCTGAGAGATGAAACCACGTTTACTTAGTGAACTCGTGAAAACCTTTGACTGTTTAAAGCCAAGTACAGCCACTGGCGGATTATTTAACCAAATGTCATTTATGTTTGAGAACATTTAATGAAACGCAAATGCCTGCTCTCTAGAATATATAGTTTTTTGCACAGCATTAAAGCATCAAATTCATTCACATTGGAAATGCATTCTTTTTTTTGGTCTGCAGAGATTTTAAATATTAATGCTCATCGTTTAGCCGTTGCTATTATGCATGCTGACCAAAGAAGCAGAGACTCGTGGGGGTGACGAATTAAAAATACCCTCATTTTGAATTTGACGCCGTTGCAGTTCATTACAGCGAGATAGAGATTGGCAGCTCTGCATGAGAGCGTGCTTTGGGGACACGGCAGATAATAGACACCGGTTAAATGACTTTGGGGCTTCTTTTGCGACATTCGATTGATCCGACTTAATGTCGTGTGGCAGACACCATGAGGATTCCGCGATTGTTATCTCTCCTGCATATGAGGCACATGGCTGTATCCCCCCCCCGACCCCCGCCCCCCCCCCCCCCCACGTGTATCGAGTCACGCCAGGATTGCTGCCTCTGCTGATGGTAATGTGTCAGCTAGCGTACCCGTAGGCAAGCCCAGAGATTGCTCGTGTTCCCCCAGGCTTGCGGTAAAGCAATGTTATCAACGCTGGCAGCAGTGTTTGTGAGTGTTATGAGGCAGTCTACCAAATAATTGTTTCTTAAAAATTGGGTTAGGGTCCTGTGTTTCCACAAGATAAGTTGACCCGTGTGTAGGGGCGCCATGGTGTCGAGATGTTAACTACCTCGCCTGGTATGTAGGAGATCGTGGATTCGATCCCGACCCTGACGCCTGTATATTTTGAGTTTGTATTTTCTCCCCGTGGTCGAGTGTGTTTTTCTCCTGCTCCTCCAGTTTCTCCCTCCACATTTAGAAACATGCATTTAGAATATTTGGATGCTTTAAATTTCCACATCGTAAGCCACTTCGTTGAGCTATCATTTGTGACCAGGTCGCTTCTGAAAAAGAGCTATATAGCTCAGTGGGCCTTACCTGGTAAAGTCTAAAAAATATATTGTATGCCGGGTGTCCCGGGGTTTATATAGTCTTACTTCCTAATTGTTCTAGTAAAGGGTGATTGGGATGATTAATGCAGTGGTTAGAGCGTTGAACCAAGTTACCCGAGTTTAATTGCCAGCCATGGCGAACATCAGCAGTGAGTAATATCTGAAACAGTTCTGGGTTTCCTGGGTTCTCTGCATTGATCATTATATATTCTGAACCTCTCATAACGAGTGGATACATTAATTTCTTAATAAGTAGCGGTTGGTGACAGCAATAAATTGTTGCCGTGCAATGAAATGCACACAAATAAGAAGAATGATTTGCAGCCCTTTCTGAATTCACCGCTCGATAAAATCATCCCTGTGCTGTGTCACTGATGGAGGCCTTCGAAAAATAAATCACGTGGCCGGTCAGCGCGGTTTGGTGAAGAGGGAGCCCAGGACCGATTCAGATCTCATTCGAGACCGATATTAGCTGCAGCTGGAAATCAAACTCGGGTCTCTGGGTTTATAGCGCAATGATCTAACCACTGCAACACCTCTACCCCCCCCCCCCCCCCCCATATCGTGCACACACTGAATCTATCTCATGTACTGTGTACCAGATTTTAAGGTGTATATATCACTTGGAATTGGTCTATTACAATGAGAACAAGAATATCACTCCGTTCAATTTTCTCACCTCGACATGGGAAATTAACTACTGTGGTCAGCTGCCCGTGTGGACGCAGCTTTAGCTGGAAATAGAAACCAAGCACTCTGCATATTTCAACTGCACTCTGTTGTCAAGATTCAATTCAAACAAGTTAGGAGGGCTGGGAAATGAAGGCTCTTGTTTCTAAACCGGTGAAGCATGGGATTGTTTCTGGTATGATGAATTGCACTGATGATGCATGCGCTTAATTAACATGTTCTGCTTGTTCCACTAAAATTGTTGAGTGTTTGAACACCTCAACAGCAGGGGAAATTGCAATCGTCGCCCATCATGTGTGTATGTGTACATGCCTGCGCGTGTATATTTACTGTGCATTTTGCAATCCTGTTATGAGAAAAAAATGTGTAGAAATATACGTCCCTATGTCAATCTGCTGTTGAATGAAAGCCTTCCCACATTGTAGAGCTTGTTTCACTACTTCACCATGCCGGTCGTTTCGAGTGAGTGAAGGGTAAGGAGTGGATGATATGAGCAGTTCAGATGGCACTCGCCACCGATGTTAGCTGTGGTGGAGAATTAAACCTGGGCTCCCACTTTAACAAAATTTTGCATGAACCGCTGCGCCACCGCTATCCCCCCCTCCCCTTTGTTATAAATGTACATACAAAAAGTGTTAGCCGTTTAATAATTAGCACGTAAGTTGTACATCGTAAATTATCTTGCATTGGTTACCCTCTATCTCACCTTCACTAAGCGTGCCTGTGTATAACCACGCTGTAACTAATCAACACACTTTTGCATCTGGAGCAATTTTCCCATCCCCCCCCCACCCCGACTTGTGCTGAATATTGCACAAAAGCAGTGACTCCAGCATGCCCCTGTGTACGAGACGGGAGAAGCTATTCTTAGGAAGCGTGCGCGAGTGTTTTATGTTCCTGTCCCAGCAGCTCTCATCTCCCGCCCGTCTGCTCATCACCACCACCACCCCCTTCCTTCCCACCTAATTTCTGCACCTCTCTCCCCCTGCCCAATCACGCCCCGGAATATCTAATTGAATGTGCTATGTGTTTACGTCGTTCAATCTGTTTTTTTTATTCGGTCGCCAAAATTGCAATATAACCACGTTACCTATCGTGCGATTCACGCGGTTAATTTTGAGTAGCTGTGTTTCCATCCTTTCATTTTAACCGGCGATTTTTTTGGCAAAGGGCCTATTGCGCCACTTATTTATATTGCAAATAATGTTTGCATGATAACCCTCTCTCCCATTTTTATGCTCGTATAGCATTGTCTCACAGTAGTGCGGCAATTCTTTATTTTACACCTTCATGAGTTTCAGTGGGCGTGTTAAGATTCTCCCCCCAGAGCATTTCAGTTGAACAGTCAATTCTGTCCCGTCTTGTTAAGTGTTGTCTTACCGTTTCCGTCTCATTGGTGAGATGTTGTTAACTCCATCAACCTAAATGTAACAGCATATAAATGATGTAAATATTAATAATTTAGTGTCATTTGTAGTTGCTTAATCGATGCATCTGCTGCACACATCCTGGGGCATTTGTGAGCAAAATTGTCTGTAAGAGAACCCTGTATAATCGGTCACTCCTCTCACCCGACAGGCGCCAGAGTCGTACAAGAACGTGACGGATGTGGTGGACACGTGCCACTCGGCTGGCATCAGCAAGAAGGCCATCAAGCTGCGACCCATTGCCGTCATTAAAGGCTGATGAGGCCCAGCACCCCGTCTCCCCATTCTCGTCCACACACGCGCACACACACACGCGCGCACACACACGCACGCGCACACACACGCACGCACACGCGCGCACACGCACACACGCACACACGCACACACGCACACACGCACACGCACGCACACGCAAGAACGTGCGCACGCATGCATGGGCAGGTCCTGCCTTTGGTAGCCTCGGCATAATGAGGAATGCCTTGGAGCCATTAAAATACATCTATTAACAGTAAAGAGAAAGCAGTCTTTTGAGTCTTGAGTCTTCACGGTGGGGGCAGGTGGAGTTTTCGCAAGAGCCTTGCGTGCGCACAGCGCGACGTTTACGGCAATTATGAGAGCGTTTAAATGCAGATTTTTATTTTATTTCAGGTGAGATCTCAAGATACCAGCAGAGTCTAATTTGCAAGAGTGACCTGGAAATATATTCCGTTAATTTACATTTTATGTCTTTTTAATTTGAGGGCTTAATATTGTGAAAAGTCTCGTTCATAAAGTCACTATCTCGAAACATTTTCCGCCTCTGCTTTCTTCCATGGTGGCCAATTTTCACTCTCATCCTGGGTGTCAATTGATCCGTGCATTAGGGGATATGGCGCAATGCACATAGCTAATTCATAGATGTGAAAAGCAAAGACTGTCTTCAGTGGTTGTGGGAGGGTGTGGTGTTGCCAACGAGCGTTGTAGCAGGAGTCATGTTTATTTATCAGCTTCTGTGAAACGAAAGTGTCTCTCAACCTCAAATGCTACTACAGAGACACTTGTAGTCGTGATTTATTTTCATAGAGGTAAGCCAGGTCTGAAGAACTGCACACAACTGGGGAAATGATCCATTCTGCATTGTTCTGAGTGGTTTGAATAAAATTGCACTTAAATTCTATTATTGCAACATTACGCCTGCTATTAATCATTTTTTTCACATCTCCATTTACAGCAAATTCAACCCAAATGGATCTGTCGTATGGAAATAGCAACATTTACAAAAGGGTAGATCAGTTTAGATGCCCCGTCAAGCACATCATCAGATGCGGATTTAACTTTCATCTTCACCACTGATAAGCGAGTACAATGGGCGACTGTTCACGATGTATTCCATTGTGTGAAGTTCGTCTGCACAGCTGCAGTTGCGGATCTTCTTGTAATCATTGCCAATCGTACATCAGACATGGTCCACATGGCTCTGGTCTCGTTTCTGATCGCCCACTACCGCCAGGATGGAGCACAGCGAAGAGGTTCGGCCGTAGGATCTTCAAATAGGCTCCTGTTTTTGACGTCTGCGCCGCCCCCAAATGGGTGAGGTCTGTGTATTTGCTAGTACCATCACGTTTCTACGTGTTGCAGTGTGTAAAGGTATGCGTTTGTATCATTCATCAATTGCATTCGGGGCTAATGGGAAGGTTTGTTAAAATTGAAAAACAAGATGTGGTTTTGTGGGCTGCTTGGAATGTTTTTTTTTTTACGTAAGAGCAAAGTAGAGAAACAGTAACCTTATTTTAAACGATAAAATGGATATATGTCATCAAACGCAACAACAATGTTTAAACGAAGATTTCAATCGGTGTGTTCTGCCATATGGGACACGTGGGTATATGCACACGTCTGTCTCCATGTAACTGAAATTTATAGAGATGTATGACGGAGACCGTCTGCTTATTTATTTTACTTATATCTGCCACGACCACCCAATTTTTTTCTTTTGTGGATATATATAGATCGGAAGCAATCAATTTCAAAAATAACTGAAAAATGTACAAGGACGCGTGGGGTGAAACGTGCTTGCATAGACACTTCGACAGAAACGGGAGCACATTTATCAGGTAACAAACAAAAATAAGACTTGCTCGCATTGACTTGAGAAATGTGGACTTGGGGATGGAGACATCGCCAGAAGGGGTGCGAGCCAATTGACGAGACTGGTGATGGAATGACAACCAAAGACGAGGATGTGCTCAAAAGCACGATCATTGCGGAGGTGAGCGATTACCTCGTTTAATGTGCGTGGGGGATTGTGGCATTGCAGGACTATGAGGGATGGCCACATCACGCGGGAGGCCTTTATCCAGCCGTGTATAAACCACGGTGGCTGATGGTGATAGCATCGTTGCAGCTGAGCTGTAGCTACGAGCTAAAAGATATGACGAGGGTTTGTCCGCTGCCTTTTACAGGCGGCGAGGCACAGTTATTGTTGATGCACTATCGGCAAGAAACGTGTGCCGCACGTCAAAGGGGTGAAGGGTTGTGATAACGGACCTTGATACTGGGATTTAACAAGCTTGCGTCCGTTCCAATCGATGCGAATCTCAGTTGACCTCAAGTGATCGCTGATCACGGCAGTTCTTGGATGAGGCTCACCCTGGGTATGTAACAATGCATCCATTAAAATCCAATGTTGTGCTCAGTACTTGGCATTGACTCGCCTGTCAGAATTATATTTCTATTCAAATGTAATTGCATGCCTCCTACCCTCTTCGACAGCCACGAAAGGCGCCGCAATGTTGACGCGACACGACAAAATGCGTTCTTGAATCGAGTCGCGACTGTAAATCGTGAAGATCCATAATACAGTTTATTTTCTTTTTAGGGTTAGATCGCGTTAATATCAATGTGTCGTGAAACCGACACCACCCGACACAGCCAATTAGTAAGGTTTGTCCCGTAAAGAAAACGTGCCAATCAGTTACTACTTCCAGAGTAAACCCACGACATTTGGAATTTGAGTACTCTGACGTTTCGCTGGTGTTTACAGCCAGCGTCATCAGGCGATTTGCCAAATGTGTGACGAAGTCATCCTGTTTCGGTCTCAAATGGCTTACGCGTTAAACAAAGCGTGATGATTCAGCATCGTTGCAGGCCTTGCTCCCATCCGTGTCTGACCCGCCAACCCCACAGGAGGGGTTTTACATATGTGCATCGCCACTGCAAGTGGCTCGCGCAGCGACGAGTTTGTCTCGCCACGTGGAGGCAAGTAACCACGTTAGCGCACGTGATCCCAAAGAGCTATTGTCCGAAAACGTGACCGAGCACGTGCGGGATTAATTAAACAAGTGGGACACGGCTAATGGCAATTAATTCGTCGGCAGCACTGCCCGAAAAAGAATATACACCATTGGAACCTCATTTGCCAGAAGAAAAAATATGATAATTGTTTTTTTACCCTTTTATCTGGCAACAAAACTGACACCTTTTTTTTTACAAGGAATCATGTTTGCATAGACCACAATACCTGCAGTCATACTGCAAAAAAAAACATAACTGATAATATATGCACTGTCCTTGAAGTTGATTGGTCCACACCCGAGACAGCTTTCCTTAGAGCCTCGTCTCACATGGTGTTGGACCAGATGACGCCAAAAGGCGCAGAGAAAATATACATTTGGCAACGTGCCTGGTATGCCCCCTTCCTAATTGCACCTCTGCTCCGAAGTATACCTCTGTTGTGAAGAAGGGCCATTGTCCGAAACGTCGCCTATTAAATATCTACTTTCCTTTTTGGGCAGTGTTATTGACGATTGTGCTGAGGTGTTGTTATTTCCGTACATATGCAACGCCTCCCACAACGGTTTGTGGGATTAATCAACGCATTCATTTGTACCATGACAGCTTTACTTTCAGCACATTTACATAATGTGGTGGATGGTGGTTGGGGGGGAGGAGAGCGGCGAATGAACTGGGGGAATTAAGGATTGCAAATTATGGAAACAAGAGTTGGCTACCGTCGAGTGAAATAAACCTTGTGGGGACAATGCTGGCGCGTGAGATCGGAGGCAATGCCATGTAGAGTGCGTGTTGCGTTCAGTCAGCACTTCGCCGTCAGATGCTGCAAGCGAGGCAATTAGCATGCACTGCCCTTCATCTGTGCAGCTTAATGTGCAGTAATCTCGATTTTCCTTTGATCAAATTTGGCCACTTAACACGTGTCTGCCAAAGTAACCTAAACCGTAAAATTGCCTTTTATAGCCTTATACATAAGCGATGCGACATTACGGTCCATTGTCAAACCATGTGTAAATGTAAGCTAAACACCCATATTTATCTTAAGTATGCGTGTGTAATTTAAGGGGAGCGATAGTGTAGCGGTTTGCACGCTGCGCTACCAACCTGACGACCGGCCAATTTGAGTGACGATTATCTGAACCGGTCCTGGGCCTCCCCTAGGTCGACTCAGCCTCAAATTAGTACCTGGTGCGGTGCGTAAAAACATCGCCACTGGGGAGACGAAGGCGGCCGGGCGTGGTGTTGGCCACCCACCCCCTCGTGTGCCGTTTTGGCCTTCATAGGTGCTCGCTAACAGCACTTGCCCCTACATTCGGTTAAGGCTGTAACTGAATTCATCACCATTATCGGCCACGATCGATCCACTGCTGGATGAAGGCCTACGATAGTAATGGTAATTTAACGCACGAAGGCAACACATCACATCCGTCGTTATCACTGCCTTAGAATTTAAAAAATGACGTTTCAGGCAATGCCCCTTCTTCAGAGCAGAGTAACCGTTTTGGTGTTGTTATTATTACAAACATTCCCCCACCCCCAGGTGCGACGATTCAGGTCGCGATCTGATTATCTCGTTTTTAACTTCCTCGTATTGTTTGTTGGTCTCATTTGTACATATTTATTGACGAGCCTGTTTGCCCGTCTTAGGACGGAAGCTGTAAACTTTACGAAAAAACTGAGCAGAGTACAATTGTATATCTTGTGTAAATGTAATGGCAGTGAATCTTGCAACAAAGTATGTCATCAAACACTTCACTGCAGTTCACTGTAGCACTATATTAATGGCAGTGATTCTTGCACGAAACTAGTCATAAACAAACTTGATTTGGCGCTTTCGTGACTGCAGGAATTACTCTTTGGTTCTTTCGGTAAAGTCACGTAGAAATAGAAAATAATAAATTAAATCATTTTTCTTTTGGTTCTTTCGGTCAAGTCACGTAGAAAGAGAAAATAAGAATGATTTATATTTCGATTTAAAGCTTTCGTAACTGCAGGGATTCATCTTCTTGGTTCTTTCGGTAAAGTCACGTAGAAGGGAAATAATAAAATAATAAAAATAACACATAATAAAATCATTCTCACGACGTTTCGGCCACAATGCAAGCAGCCGTCCTCAGGTGAAGAACAGGTCTGTCGGAAAGACAATGTCTGAATGTCGGAAAGACAATGTCTGAATGTCTTTCCGACAGACCTGTTCTTCACCTGAGGACGGCTGCTTGCGTTGTGGCCGAAACGTCGTGAGAATTATTTTATTATGTTTTATTTTTATTATTTTATTATTTCCCTTCTACGCGACTTTACCGAAAGAACCAAAGAGTAGTCATAAACACTTTACCATACTTCATGTCATTGTAGCACTGTATATAACTGACCTTCAATTTGTTTAAATTCACTGCTTTGATACTTTATTCTCTTCTGATTTCGGTCGCTGGGGTTGAAATACTGTAAATTTGAAATCGATACAATATATGGGAAATCACCGAGAAATGTCTATTTTACCATAATATAGAAGCATAAATTAGAATTACCTTTTGTCTCAAGTGCTGAAGAAATAAATAAAGACACCAAATCCACTTTGTTGCTGCGTAGAATTATTTATTAGATTCACTTTCAATAAAGAAACGTCAAACTTAAAGCGAATTTGCGAAAAATATTATTTCCGCTCAATCTTATGCATGTGTAAAAATCCACCCGCCCATGTATAATAATGACGGGGGGGGTGTGGCATGTGGAGTGACGTCACGCGCGTTACACACAGACATTCTTGGCTCGTTATAGTAATGCCATTAGCCTACATTTAACACCGGCATACCGTTCGCATACAAGTTACACAAATCGCCAGTGACCCATGCGCCCACGTTTAATACACATCCTTATTAGCTTAAGTATCGATCGATTTTTTATCGATTTTAACCGATACATTGCAGAGCAATAGTTCTTAACCTCTGGTTCTCAATTGTAAAATTATTTGTATGTTAATACATAGGTTTGTTGAAACAAAGTAGTTGTAATTGCGTGCCCGTGCTTAATTTGTTTTGATGATTTACCTTCGAAGAAAATCTGACCACGTCTAGCTACCCCCAGAAAGGGCATCTCGCACCCAGGTTAAAGAACCACAGAGTTGTTGAGTGACGACTCTTACAGAACCCAGAACACATTCGCGGAGGGTGACACCACTGCCGTCTCCCGGCTACCTCGCAACGCCACACCTACAACGTCTGGTGGCCCGTCACGCACACTAACCAGACCCAGACGCGATCCACTTCCGACATATGACTATATCGAGCGCATTTGAGGGCGATTTCGGTCAGCAACACAGTCCAGGCAAACATTTGCTAACGTCTTGATGGGAACCTACATGTTGCGGGGCGGGGAGCCTTCGTCATCCAGCAGTGGATTAACAAACAAGCCGTATGGGACAGGGGGGGGGGGGGCTATATTGAGTCATCAGAAGAGGTCGCAACCGGGTACCCGATACCCGTACCCTACCCGATACCCGGCTACCCGTACCCGGCCGGGTACAGGTACCCGTTTGCGACCCTGGTGCGGCCGGGTACGGGTACGGGTATGCCGTGAGTCACCGGTGAGTAACCATTTGTCACTCATTTCGGGTTGGGTACGGGTACGGGTAGCGTACGGGTACCCGTACCCGGCCGGGTACGGGTAAGGAATCAAAACCCGTTTGCGACCTCTGGTCACCACATCAAGAAGCCACGTGCGAATGGGAGAACGAGGGGCTAGACGGTAGGGGTGGGGAATGTCCGGCCCGCGGGCCGTATAAGGTTCGCGAAAAGATTTGGTCTGGCCCTGCCAAGGCAACCGCAGGCGGGACTGGAAATTCAATAAATCGAGGCGCAAACCTGGGAAAGCAGTTGCGAATAGCAACATCATCAACACCAGCTAACATCACACGCCTCGCCAAAGAGAAGCAGTTCTAGCCATCACATTAGGGGTGAGTTAATTAAACGTTTGACGAAATATAACGGGCTAATTTTTAAGTTGATCATTTTGCATGGCCCGCGAATTATGTTTTCAATATCCAAATGCCCCTTGGCCAGAAAAAGGTTCCCCACCCCTGGGCTCGGGCCGTGTGAGTGGACAACAAGCGCTCGGTGGAGACTCCACGGAGCGGCGGTGTTGTGCGCACGTCACAAATGCCAGTGCGTGAAAGGGCGTTCAAAGTTGCGCGCTCGTATTCCTAGGTTTTTTTGGTAAAGTTACGTAGGTAAAAAATTAAAATTAATAAAAGTAAAATAAATTAATAAAAAATTAACCCGTAAAAACAAAGTTTTTCACTATAAATCCTTTATATGCGTGGCATCGGTTTTATTTTATTATTCATTTCTGTTTTTCTTGAGTAAGAGTTTCATTTTTATCACATTGGTATTTTAAATTAAATATGAAAAAAAAATTTCCTAAAAAGTGGAAAATTTTGGAAAAAAATTTCACGAAAATTGTCCCGCACAACGAGTCTGTGTGCAAAATGTCAGCTCGATTGGATCACGGGAAGTGGGTTAAAAAACGACCGAAAGATTTGCACGGTCGTAAGCGCGCAAGCAAGCAAGCAAGTGAACTTAATATAAAGTATTTAAAAATCACGACGTTTCGGAGGCAACACCGTCACAGTTCGCGTGCTGTATCAAGCGTGCTGTGACGGTTCCACCTGAAGACGGAAGCTTGTGTTGCCTGCGAAACGTCGTGATTTATTTTTTACTTTTATTAATTTTAATTTTTTACCTACGTGACTTTACCGAAAAAACCTAAGAATATGAATCCTTGCAGTCACGAAAGCTTCAAATCTAGAATTGTGCGCTCGGTCCGGCGTGGCACTGTTGTTGTGCCACTGGTGCCGCCGTCCCGTCCAAGACCCACGTCTGATGGCTTTGCGCTGCGTTACGTCGCCGAAGACCGCGGCACACCCTAAGCACCTGCTCACCCTGTGAAAGCCCCCAAGAGAGGAATTGTTCATAATGTCATTTGATGGCGACGTTGATCGTGACCGTCTTATTTCGTAGACCAGGGACGTGTGGTCAGGGGAAGGCAGGAGAGGAAGAGCCTCACCTGGCATACAATGAAAATAGTTGTTACGAAAAGTAAAAAAATCCAAATAAAAATTAAGATTTTTCCACTGATCTGTGTTATAAATTCCATTTATGTACGATTCCAATCATTGTTATAGTCAAAATCGCTAATTTGCGGAGCTCCGCTGCAAATAGAGGAAGACACGAGAGGTGAGGCAGCGACGAGCTCAGCCTCCCCTCTGATTGCGCACCGCCTCAGTAACTGGATGGTGCGCGGGCAATAAGCGCGTGCCTGCTACTATCTCAGTATGTCACCAATGTAATGTTTGTAGACCCCCTCATTTCATGTCCTCGCCTTCCATACTCCAGTTAACTTATTTCACGTATGTGTATAAAGATATTTAGGCTCGCTGGTCTGGTCATGAAACTGCAATGAAAAAGCAGCAGGGGAGGCAGCTATCACATCTGCCTCACCGAGGGGGACGTGTCTAACACGCCCCCCTCAGTGATGACACGCCCCCCTCAGTGTGTCAATCTGGCTCTGACACTAAGCCAGTGCCTCCCCAGCCATTGACCTCACCGCACGTCACTGTCGTAGACCCTCTTCATCTTGTTAGATGTCGCCGTTGAGCTTGATAAGCTTCCTTGGATGGGTCGCCCCAAAGTGCAATTACACGGGTGCTAAAAGCTGCCGATGGCCGACGAGCCGCGCAGCAGAGGGCAGTGTGCTGCAACGTTCATTATTGTACCGCACAACCTTCCCAAGTCGATGCTCCCCAAACTTCACGCATGCGCACCGATCGGCGGCGTGGTGAAAACACATTCCTGCGGAGGGAGCTGGTAGGAACGTCGGGTTGCTCGGTCAATGGCCAGGGTCAACGGCGGCGTGGTGTATTCCACAAATATGGCCGACTGTGAGGGCGGGCACAAGCCGGCGTGAGTAGGTTAAACGTTGAGTTTTATAAGGGCACCACGGGGTGACCAGCCCCTCCCCACCCAGCCCCACCCCTCCCACCCCCACCCAGCCCCACCCTCCCCACCCCTCCCTACCCAGCCCCTCCCCACCCAGCCCCTCACCACCCAGCCCCTCCCTGCACGACGGACACAATAATCCCCTGTGGGCTGGTGTAACCAGAAGGTTCCTACCAGTATAACGACTTTACCAGTTGCATATTTTGAACAGGCAGACAATTAGTTATATTAGAGAGAGACAATTAGTTATATTAGAGAGAGACAATTAGTTATATTAGAGAGATAGACAATTAGTTATATTAGAGAGAGAGACAATTAGTTATATTAGAGAGAGAGACAATTAGTTATATTAGAGAGAGACAATTAGTTATATTAGAGAGAGAGACAATTAGTTATATTAGAGAGAGAGACAATTAGTTATATTAGAGAGAGAGACAATTAGTTATATTAGAGAGAGAGACAATTAGTTATATTAGAGAGAGACAATTAGTTATATTAGAGAGAGAGACAATTAGTTATATTAGAGAGAGAGACAATTAGTTATATTAGAGAGAGAGACAATTAGTTATATTAGAGAGAGAGACAATTAGTTATATTAGAAAGAGACAATTGGACATCGTGATTGGTTGATTACGTGAGTATAATTATGGACTGTATTTCCACGTGTAGGCCTAAATATATCCGAATTAGTTTTGTTTACAGTTTCTATGCACAGGAAATACGCTAAGTTTGCTAATTATAACTAGTTCTCAAACGTTGTATTTTGGAAATCCTCGTCATAAGAATGGGGAATTTCCACCACTGAGTCTGGGCTGCACAGAAAAGAAGCACTGGGAATCATTTTCACGTTGTGACTTATGCTCAAAAACTTTATGAAGTTCCGTGGCAAACATTACATCCAGGATACGCTTCTATCATATACAGTACGGTACTGCACACTGACATTACTTGAGGAAGGAAGGGCATTCCTTTAGCCTTGTACGAGGTGATTATTTTTAACTTGCCCTGAAAACATTTCCAAACCCGTTAATACAGAATAGGCTTGAGGAACAAGATTAGCGAATTGGTCTGGCAGACGGCGAATGATATATAATCTTGCAGCAAGGGAAATTCATGTTTCCTGGGCCACGCACTTTTTAACATATACAAAATTTGACTACCAGCCATTCTAAATCCACGAATGGAAAATAAATGCCTCGCCATACAATGTCGGTCATGAATTGTGTTGTTGTTGTGCCACCATCCATCAGGGTTGGTGACGAGTGAGTAGAACAGGGCCCGTCTTAGAATTATCACGCGACCCTGTTTGTTAGCCATAGCCGTCGGGTTGGGAGCATGGTGGACTAACCACGTGTGTTTCTCTCCTTTGCGCAGTGACTTCTCTCTCTCTCTTCCCCAAAATAAAAAAGGAAGTAGACCTCCCACCTCCCCCCTCTCACCACCACCACCATCATCCCCCCGCAACTCCCCTCTCCAAATCCAAATCTCCACAATCTTTCCCTGTGCAACGTGCCTCTGAGCCAATGCTATAGCCGGCAGCAGCTGACGTGTCACCACCAGAGCCGCAAAGTCTCTGCACCCACACACACTCTGGCATGTTGGGAGGAAGGGGAGAGGGCCCAGCCATGACATCACCAAAGGAATAGGCATCTGTGCAGCCAAGGAACCGGGGGCGTTAGCAGGCACACAGGCTCCTCCTCATCCTCCATCCCCCCCTCGCCATAAACCGGCTCTGCACTGCGCTACGCTCCTCGCTGCGAGTGCGGCGCGCACAGATGGCGACGCGCGTAGCGGGGAGAGATTTCCACGCTGTTCCCCGTTCTTCACCGTCGTCTTCCTCGCGTTCCCTTCAAGCGAGATGAAGGCAAGGCGCTCGGCTCGCCCGGCCAGCGAGGAGAGAGAAGGGGGAGCGAGCGGCGAGGGGAGCCAAGGAGGAGCGGAATAGGAAAGCGGAGAGAGGGGGGATTGTGTCCGAGACGCGTGCGCACGCACTTCGCGACGGTGTTCTCCGTGCCGCGTAAACACCGCAAAGCAACGGAGCGGGTGGATCGACTGACTGACTGACTGCGCTGGCGGATACAACAACAACACACACGCACACACACGGAGACACGCGTCGATGCGATACACACGATAGTCGCAGATAACGTAGAAAACGAGCGGTGGCTGCTTCAGGCTATAAATACAACACACCAGCTGAACACATACATACATACACACGCGCATAGATACTGCATAGCCAAAAGCAAACGCATAGTCGCAAACACTTAAGCACACGTCTAAAAAAACACGCACAACCACAACAACCATCTACTGTCAGAGCTATAAACACCCACCACATCATATGCACAGCCATACACTCTCACAGCTCTAAACACCCAGCACACCACACACACACACAACTATAAACGCCGGTCATACGGAACACACAAAAACAAAACACACTCATCTTGCACAAGCGCAAACACTCAAGGGCACAACACACACACACAACCACACACATACACACAACCACACACACACAACCACACACATACACACAACCACACACACACAACCACACACATACACACAACCACACACACATAACCACACACACACATAACCACACACACACAACCACACACACACATAACCACACACACACACAACCACACACACACATAACCACACACACACATAGACACACACACACATAACCACACACACACAACCACACACACACAACCACACACACACATAGACACACACACACACAACCACACACACATAACCACACACACACAACAACACACACACATAACCACACATACACATAACCACACACACACATAACCACACACACACAACTACACACACAACCACATACACAACCACACACAACTACACACATAACCACACATACACACATAACCACACACACACATAACCACACACACACATAACCACACACACACACATAACCACCCACACACATAACCACACACACACAACTACACACACAACCACATACACAACCACACACACACACACAACTACACACATAACCACACATACACACATAACCACACACACACATAACCACACACACACATAACCACACACACACACATAACCACCCACACACATAACCACACACACACAACTACACACACAACCACACACACATGCGCAGTCCTGTGTGCTCCTGAAGGAGAGGAATCTGAGATTCTTAGATCCACAGAGAGATCGGGGTGGCAGGGTGAGAGAGAGAGAGAAACTGGGCTCTTCCCGGCGTCACCAGGTGCCGACTCCCGTGGCGTGACATCAAAGAGGGTCCTGCACCATGGATAGCACCGCAGTGGGCCACTGCGCTCAGGACGTAACCGTCTTGTGCCGACCTACAACCGGAGACCACGGAGACGGAACGATGTGCAGTGGCTTCTCACCGTCTAGCTCCTGCCGTTCCACCACCTCCTCCTACTCATCCCTGTCGTCGTCGTCGTCGTCGTCATCATCGTCGTCGTCGACATCGTCACCCAAGGCTTCATCCTCTTGCTCGTCTCCCTGCACCGGCGCGGAGATCGGCGGCGACGCGTCGCGCGGAGGGTCCGCGATGGAGGAGGGCGAGAGATGGCTCCTTGGCGAGGTGGATAGGTTGAGTCGGGAGCTGGCGGAGACGAGCAAGCAGAAGATCCAGGCTGCCGAGTACGGTCTGGTCGTGCTGGAGGAGAAGCAGATCCTGCAGCAGCAACACGACGAGCTGGAGCAGGCGTCCGAAGTCATGCGCAAGGAACTGCAGATCCTCAAGGAGGTGGGTGGGTGCACCCTTCCGTGTCTGTGTGTTGACCAAAATCCGAATGATGCGTTTATACTGGAGGAATCCGATGAGCTGTGAAGCTCTTTTTCCCCCACAGATGTCTTGTCAGAATCGGAATACGAAATGTATACTGGAGGAATCTGATGAGCTATGAAGCTATTTTGTCACAGATGTCTTGTCAGAATCAGAATACGGAATGTATACTGGAGGAGTCCGATGAGCTGTAAAGCTATTTTTTCACAGATGTCTTGTCAGAATCATAATACGGAATGTATACTGGAGGAATCCGATTAGCTGTAAAGCTCTTTTTTCACAGATGTCCAGTAGACAGCTGTGTATGTGTTGGGTAGTCCTTTGATGAAGAGACTGATGGTCTTGAGGAGGGGGGATCTTTAACATCATCGTGAGCCATGGTCTACCCACTGATAGATGGAGAATGAAGAGCTACACACGCAGTCGCCCTCCCTCACGGGCCTCTGGTGCCACAATCAATTATTTCACTCTCCTGCACGCGAACCCATTAATCTCATTTCAACATCTCCGCGATGGTTGGACCTCTCTGGCGCGCTGGTTCCATTCCCTGGGCTGACATTTTCTCACCAGGCTCAGGTCAATGCGATGTCTCTGATTTGCGTTTTTTTTCCCTTGATCCACGTGTCCCCTCTCTCCTGACTGTGTGATTCCTCCACGCTGCATCTTTTCTTCTTTTTCTTTTCAAGATTTATTTCCATTCGTTTGTCATCGTTCATGGCCTCTTGGCCTGGTCTTGAACGTGACCTGTCAATATTGTTACCAAGGTTCGCTCGGATAGCCTTAACAGACTTTTGGGACAGTTAGCGAGAAACTGTTAAGGCCGGAACGGCACACGAGGGGGTGGGTGGCCAGCACCACGGCTGACCGCCTTTGTCTCCCCAGTGGCGATGTTTACACACCGCAACATCCACTCATTTGAGGCTGAGTCGACCTAGGGGTGGCCCAGCACCGGATCAGATAAACGTCACTGGTGTTGGCCGTGAGCGAGAATCGAACTCGGGTTCGCCTGTTTCGTAGCGCAGCGCGCTAACCGCTACACTACCGCTCCCCATACACAAATACACACACACATACACCCACCCCACACAGCGTTTACACACCGCACAAGAGTACTCATTTAAGGCTAAGTCTACCTACGAGAGCGCCAGGACCCGGGTTCAGATATCCCCCCTTCCCCCCGCCCCTACTGTTATTGTTCGTGAGCTGGAATCGAACTCGGGTTCGAAGCGCAGGATGCGCTAACTCCGCTACCTACACACCTGTGTTTACCTGTAGGCGCGTGCGTGCGCGCGTGCGTCTGTTTGGTGTGGCCGCACACCTGGGCTGTGATGTCCCCGCCAGCGCGTGCAACACACTCTATCCCGCATTGCGGCTGCGGGTCTTGATTAGCATTCTCAAATGATTGTGTCGCCAATGTTGTCTTTTTGTGTACCTCGTTGGTGTTTGACGAAATGCGCCGAAGCCGAATGGTTGATACGATGATGAATATTGCCTACAGGCATGAAATCAGACTCGTAAGAATTGGAAAATCAGTCCAGATACATCTACTTGAATGTGATTATTCCAGAATGCATTATTTGTCTCTCCGTTTACATGAGATGCAAATGGCTGTTGGAAATGTTTTGTAAAAAAATCGCCTTTCATGAAACAGTTTTACATAATGTTAAACTACATGTGCATATATACACTGGCCATATATGCATTGTTTAACGTCAATCTATTTATAGTACAAGTTACGTCTATTGCCAATGTGAATTACAGTTCGTATGTACCTGTTGACACTAATGTATAACCATTAATCGATACGATACAATATGAAGGCCTAACCCACGCCATTTCTGTCGTGGGTGTGGATGAAGAATGTGGGGGGGGGGGGGTGTTTGACCATACTTCACCACGTAGGTCAAGGCAGGTTGGTGGGGGGGGCGTCAACCAATTCTGATATCACTCGCCACAGATGTGAGCAGAGTTCACAGGGATCATATAAGAATGTGCCAATCCGATCCATTATAAAGTGCCATCTCGACAGAGGGCCGGGAGTGGGTTCTGACGGCTCTCTGCTGTACAGCGCCACGACCAATGGGGAGAGGGGAGGGCGGGAGGTGTATGGGGGGGTGGGAGCTGGATCGGCCACTGAACGGCACAGAGGGTCCGTCTGTGCTGGCTTGCTAAGAGTAAGGTTCATTCCTTTCCTCTGCCAACAAAACACCACGGCACTCCAGGGACGTCTCTTGTGGCATGCCAGTCTCTGAACACACTACCCTAGAATGCGTGTCTGCTGTGTTGTCTTGCCTATCCATCTCGTGCCATCCTCGCAACTGGATGTTAATGTCCACGACGCGTGCTTTCCACCTCTCGGGATCTTCAGCGTCGTTTGTGTCGCATGCCATGCATTATTCACGCACGCCGTGCGTATGGATACAGTGCATGCATATATAAAGACGAATATGCCTCGCTGTGCCACGGCGGCGTGTTTTTCTTTTTAAGAAGCTCCTCAATTGAGATGTCTGTCCACTACACGAATAAACTCTGTTGAATTCAAAATCAACATCCGACAGCATCGACATACAGCCAAAGTTTTAAGTTGGACTAAAACACATTTTGACATGCATTTGCAGACACATCAGGGTGGGCTGTTGTTGTCATTAACCTCAGAATGCTCCTCTCTAGTGCACAATGTGCGTTGAACTTCTTTCGCACCGTACGTAGCCAACCGTGCCAATCGGAGGTGCAATGAATTTCGTATGCAAATGACCTCCGTGTGACCATATATGCCTATCGAGGTGGTGAGATCATTATTACCGGTGCCGATGATGGCTGCAAACCTTATCTCCCCCTCCCCCCACCTTATGCTAAGATCCCTCTGCTGTCACACAGTCGACACCCGTCTGCGTCGATTCCCAGCCATTGATAACATAAGTCACCAGTGATATATCTGAACCGGTCCCGTCTGCTCCATGCCACCCGCCCCACCTCCACTTCATCAACTCTCACTGACCAGCGTGGCGAAGTATGGTCAAAGAACAGCCACGGTGTGGTGAGGCCTTCATCCAGCAGTGGATTGACAAAGAGATGTAAATTAATGTATGTATATCTTTGAAGCTAAGCAGGCGTTTGGACCTGGATAGTTGTTGGATGGGTGACCACCATGCTTAATACATGTATTGTGCATAACAATTATTGTTGTACTGTACTATGCTAAAACGTCTATGCTCTCGGCATTCGTCAACCCACTCACCAACGTGGTGGTTCATGGTCAAAACACATTCCTACTAAGGGAGCTGGTAGGAACGTTGGGTTGCTCGGTCAATGGCCAGGGTCAACGGCGGCGTGGTGTATTCCGCAAATATGTCCGACTGTGAGGGCAGGCACAAGCCGGCGTGAGTAGGTTAAACGTTGAGTTTTATAAGGGCACCACGGGGTGACCAGCTCCTCCCCACCCAGCCCCTCCCCACCCTCCCCTCCCCACCCAGCCCCTCCCCGCACGACGGACGGACACAATAATCCCCTGTGGGCTGGTGTAACCAGGAGGTTCCTGCCAGTATAAGTCCCACTACCTGCACGGCATGGGACGTGCAGTAGGAGTATACTTGTACACGTGCCTGCGCGTATTGGCAATGTGTCTGTGCTGTACTTAGATGTGCAATACAACAATACAACATTGTCCTGCTTGTACGTACGTTGGACTTCTTTCGCACCGTACGTACTAATCGGAGGTGCTGCTCGTGATTGGAACACGTGTCAAGATGTGCAGCACAGTGCCGATAACTCATCAGATCATTATAATCCTCCGTGCGACGCTCCGCACCTCCGACTAGCACCCGGTTGGCTTCGTACGGTGCGAAAGAAGGTCAACATACAAACTGTGCGTACGACCTGCACTCATTCTGTCGAGGCAGACAGGGTAAAGTGAACATGACACCTGTGCGAATGTGTAGCTTGCAGTAGGATTGCAAGTGTGTGTGCGGCTGCAAAGGGTCCGTCCATAAATGACGTCACGCAACCAGGGGGGGGGGGTCAGACATTTGTGACGAGGGGGGGGGGGGTTAAGAAATGTGACCTCACATCAAAATGCGCAACTTTAAATAAATATAGACAACACGTTCTACTTAATTAAAAATACTTTTTAATTAATGTTTTCTACGACAACATCAAAGTGCAGCGCCACATTAAATACGCACTACAATGACAATAGTTTAAAGCGATTTGAAGCATTTTTTTTTTGGGTCAGGGGGGTGCAGAGCTTTGTGACGTCATATTTGAGAGGGGGGGGGGTCTGACTTTTTGTGACGCCGTGTGACGAGGGGGGCGAGGGGTGGAGGTAAAAAATCGTCCAAAATCGCGTGACGTCATTTATGGACGGCCCCAAAGTTTATTCGGCTGAGTAACACCGAGGCTGGATGGAGAGGAAAGTGTCAGAGGGCCCACGTGACCCTCTGCTGTTGCGCTTACATCCTAAATGCCTGCGCGATGACTCTTCAGCTTTCAGAGGGAAGGTATCTGCCTTGCCAAGCAACATTTACCGCACATGTGGTCGTCCACCTAATTTTTCCAAGCAAGACGGGTAATCAGCCGTGCTTTGATGTGTAATTTGGCAACCGTACGATTGAACCCAATGCTTATTATCGCTAACTGGATGTGACAGTTGAAAATGGGTGGGCTTTTAACTATCCGAACCCATCTTCCCCCGATCGTCTGTGTAATGAGCTTACTTGGGCATGAATAGATGCATAATCAAGTTCAGATTTTTCAAAAATAACTACAACCTGCCCTCGTTTTGCCACCATCTCATTCGTTTGTTCCCTCTTCACCTTAAATTGTTTCCCGAGATCGGCAGTACTGTAACCTTTGCGTGTTTACACGTGTGTCCGTTCAACAATTATATCCGTTTGCCGAGCGAATTTGTCGCGCGTGCTGGGTGACCTTTCGTTTTATCGCATTTATCTTGAAAGAAAAGTTTA